ATGTACATATTTTTTTTAAAGTAGACAACCCAGGGTATTCAATATGGGGTATGTCCAGTCTTTTTTAGTAGCCACTTAGTCGAAAACACTGGCCAAAGTAAGCATTCATATTTGTTTGTGTGTGAAAAAAGTAAAAAAACGAAATTGAACGCTAATTTTGGCCAGTGTTTGTGACCAAGTGGTTACTAAAAAAGACTGGACATACCCCATTTGCAATACCTTGGGTTGTCTTCTTTTGCAAATGGTATGCCATCATGGGGGTAATTCTCATTCCTGGGCTACCATACGCTCTCAAAGGCAACGTAACCAACCTGGCCATTTTCAATGTAAAATATTTGACCCATATATTTGACCTTGTAACTTTCAAAAATGCTATAAAACCTGTACATGGGGGGTACTGTTTTACTCGGGAGACATCGCTGAACACAAATATTAGTGTTTAAAAACTGGAAAACGTATCACAACAATTATATCATCAGTAAAAGTGCTGTTTGTGTGTGAAAAATGCAAAAAAAGTAACTTTCACTGACAATATCATCGCTGTGATATGTTTTACTGTTTTGAATCACTAATATTTGTGTTCAGCGAAGTCTCCCGAGTAAAACAGTACCCCCCATGTACAGGTTTTAGGGTGTCGTAGAACGTTACAGGGTAAAATACAGTGCTAGCAAATTAAATTCTCTGGAATTTCGGCCTGGGTTGGCAGGCAGGTCCCTCAAATTGCAATCAATAAAATTACTGAATTATTTAAAAATATTACATAAATACGCACGTAGAATTTAAATATATATGCATATTTATATATTTGAAGCTCCGCCGGTATATTTATATAATTATTTATGTAATTTTGTATATGGACATATGTATATTTCTTTTTATTTTTATTTATTTTTATATACATAGATATATATACAAATTCATTCTAAGTGTATTTTGATATAAATATATATATATTAATTTTAAAATACAGTTAGAATAAAATTTCATATAGTTATATAATTTTTTTTAAATTTTTTATTATTATTTTTAAAAAAAATTATTTAATTTAAATTACTTATTAGTTATATTTTATAATAATATATATATACAATATATATAGTTATTATATATATTATATATACGTGTGTAATTTAATTATAAGTGCATTTTTATATTAATATAAGTACATATTAATATAAAAATACACTTAGTATGACATTATATATATATGATATATAGACATATATTATATTGATATAATATATGTCTATATATCATATATACACCTATATAATTATTTATTTATTTTTTTAATTAACACTAACTTTATTTTTTTTACTGATTTTACACTAGCAGGGAGACTGCCTGTCAGCACAGACAGTCCCCCTGCAGGCAGACACATGGACACCTATTGTGACCATGTGATCGCTGTGTTAAGCGATCACATGGCCCCAGGGGTCCTAATCTGCCGTGGGGAGACTGCCTGGGCTGCAGGCAGTCTCCCCACAACCGGAGCCACGCTGATCGCCGCCGGGGGAACGACGGCGATCAGGTAAGTAGCTCTGACCGTTAGGACGGTTCAGGACCGTCATCGGTCGGCAAGGGAAAAATGCCGATGACGGTCCTGAACCGTCCTCGGTCCTTAAGGGGTTAAACCATACATTTATAAAAACATTAGCAGGTGTTCAAAAGGCCCTGCCTATGACATCACTTGCTGCTGCAGCTTGACACAGGTCAGAGTATTTTGGCGGTTGCCATCTTCAAACGGTCGTATCTTAAAAATTATAACTCCTACAGCGAAGAGCTTTATATTGTGAGAATCACAAGGCCCAGACCTACATTTTGATGCATAGTATGTCTCTGAAGTATTAAAAATGAAGGCACAGTCGCAGTTTAGAAATTGCACTTCAAATTTGAGCTTTGCAGAGTGAAGTTTCAATGAAAGTCAATGGACGGGCGCTAGTTGCAAAACAAAATGATTATAAATTGCGAAACTATCGTGACTACGGCTTGTAGTCAGTTGACATGTTTAGTGGCAGCAGGATAGCCAACGTTTTGATATAAGATTTTGTGTAGTGGGCTCTGAAAATGAGGGAGTGGTGGCAGTTTAGAAATCATGTCCTGATTTTTCTCAGCTTTTGCCACCCCACTCTAGCTTTGCCATTCATTCCATGGGGACAAATTGGCGCTTACAAGAACGACGCATATATTCCTGAACCATCTCTTAAACGCTCCACAAAGTAATGGAAGTAATCCGATCTGGAAATAATCTGCACGCTTTGGTAAATTTTGTCTATGTAGTGTAAAAACTGTGGGAGGAGTTAGTGGCAAATTTGCTATAATAAGAATAAGAATAATAATTGAGCTACAATTTCTGGTGAAATTGTGTGAAGTGTTCTTGCCTCCACCAGTAGTCTACAACTGGAGTGGGCGGAGTAACTGTTATCATTTACATAGCACATTTAATTGCAACGTTGCTGCACAGTTACATTAAACCATACATTTATAAAAACATTAGCAGGTGTTCAAAAGGCCCTGTCTATGACATCACTTGCTGCTGCAGCTTGACACAGGTCAGAGTATTTGGGCGGTTGCCATCTTCAAACGGTCGTATCTTAAAAACTATAACTCCTAAGCAGTGAAGTATTTTATATTGTGAGAATCACAAGACCCAGACCTACATTTTGATGCTTAGTGTGTCTCTGAAAGTATTAAAATTGAAGGCACAGCCACAGCTTAGATATTGCACTTCAAATTTGAGCTTTGCAGAGTGAAGTTTCAAATGAAAGTCAATGGACGCCGTTGGTTGCAAACAAATGATTATATTGTGAAAACTATCAGGACTACGGCTTAGCCGTTGACATGTTTAGTGGTAGCAGGGATAGCTGAACGTTTTGATATAAGATTTGTGTAGGTGGGCCTGAAAATAAGGGAGTGGTGGCAGTTTAGAAATCATGTCCTGATTTTTCAGCTTTTGCCAGCCCCCACTCTAGCTTTGCCATTCATTCCTATGGGACAAATTTCGTCACAAGAACGACGATATTCCGTGAACCATTCGGCGAAACGTTCCACAAAGCAATAGCAATCCGATCGGGAACAATCTGCACGTTTTGGTAAATTTTTGTCTATGTAGTGTAAAAACTGTGGGAGGAGTTAGGGTGGCAAATTTGGCTATAATAAGAATAATAATAACTAGAAAAGTTAAAATTTCAGGGGAAATTGTGTGAAGTGTTCTTGCCTCCACCTGTAGTCTACAACTGGAGTGGGCGGAGTAACTATCATTTACATAGCACATTTAATTGCAACGTTGTTGCACAGTTACATTAAACCATACATTTATAAAAACATTAGCAGGTGTTCAAAAGGCCCTGTCTATGACATCACTTGCTGCTGCAACTTGACACAGGTCAGAGTATTTTGGCGGTTGCCATCTTCAAACGGTCGTATCTTAAAAACTATAACTCCTACAGCGAAGAGCTTTATATTGTGAGAATCACAAGACCCAGACCTACATTTTGATGCATAGTATGTCTCTGAAGTATTAAAATGAAGGCACAGTCGCAGTTTAGAAATTGCACTTCAAATTTGAGCTTTGCAGAGTGAAGTTTCAATGAATGTCAATGGACGGCGTTGGTTGCAAACAAATGGTCACATTGTGAAAACTATCAGGACTACGGCTTAGCCGTTTACATGTTTAGTGGCAGCAGGGATAGCTGAACGTTTTGATATAAGATTTGTGTAGGTGGGCTGAAAATAAGGGAGTGGTGGCAGTTTAGAAATCATGTCCTGATTTTTCAGCTTTTGCCAGCTCCCACTCTAGCTTTGCCATTCATTCCTATGGGACAAATTTCGTACCACAAGAACGACGATATTCCGTGAACCATTCTCGCGTAAACGTTCCACAAAGTAATAGCAATCCGATCGAACAATCTGCACGCTTTGGTAAATTTTGGTCTATGTAGTGTAAAAACTGTGGGAGGAGTTAGGGTGGCAAATTTTGCTATAATAATAATAATAATAATAATAATATATATGTGAGATAACATTAAGTGGTCTTGCTATGCAAGAACACTTAATAATAATAATAATATATATGTGAGATAACATTAAGTGGTCTTGCTAATGCAAGAACACTAATAATAATACTAGAGTTACAATTTCTGGGGAAATTGTGTGAAGTGTTCTTTGCCTCCACCTGTAGTCTACAACTGGAGTGGGCGGAGTAACTGTTATCATTTATATAGCACATTTAATTGCAACGCTGTTGCACAGTTACATTAAACCATACATTTATAAAAACATTAGCAGGTGTTCAAAAGGCTCTGTCTATGACATCACTTGCTGCTGCAGCCTGGCACAGGTCAGAGTATTTTGGCGGTTGCCATCTTCAAACGGTCGTATCTTAAAAACTATAACTCCTACAGAGAAGAGCTTTATATTGTGAGAATCACAAGACCCAGACCTACATTTGATGCATAGTATGTCTCTGAAGTATTAAAAATGAAGGTACAGTCGCAGTTTAGAAACTGCACTTCAAATTTGAGCTTTGCAGAGTGAAGTTTCAATGAAAGTCAATGGACGGCGTTAGTTGCAAACAAATGATTATATTGTGAAAACTATCAGGACTATGGCTTAGCCGTTGGCATGTTTAGTGGCAGGAGGTATAGCTGAACGTTTTGATATAAGATTTGTGTAGGTGGGCCTGAAAATAAGGGAGTGGTGGCAGTTTAGAAATCATGTCCTGATTTTTCAGCTTTTGCCAGCTCCCACTCTAGCTTTGCCATTCATTCCTATGGGACAAATTTGGCCACAAGAACGACGATATTCCGGGAACCATTCGGCGAAATGTTCCACAAAGTAATAGCAATCCGATCGGGAACAATCTGCACGTTTTGGTACATTTTTGTCTATGTAGTGTAAAAACTGTGGGAGGAGTTAGGGTGGCAAATTTTGCTATAATAAGAATAAGAATAATAATAATAATATATATGTGAGATAACATTAAGTGGTCTTGCTATGCAAGAACACTTAAATATATATGTGAGATAACATTAAGTGGTCTTGCTATGCAAGAACACTTAATAATATATATGTGAGATAACATTAAGTGGTCTTGCTATGCAAGAACACTTAAATAAGAATATATATGTGAGATAACAATAAGTGGTCTTGCTATGCAAGAACACTTAATAAAAGGAAGTTAACCCCAAAGGATGGGCCATAATCTAAACTAACACTGATCATTTTGATTACTTTAATATAATTTTATTTTTTTTAAAGTGTTTGGAGCTTTCAAAACATATCTGGAACTATGGTAAATATATATACAACCAGATGAGATATGCACCTGCAATTCTCTGCTCATGTGCAGAGATATACAAGGCATGTAACTGGTTTACAAAAGGACTTTTTATCATGTGACAAGTTGTTGTTTTTCCGTGGTCTTAACCCCTTAAGACCGGAGGGCGTACTATTACGCCCTATTTTAGGCGGCTCTAAACGCCGCCGGGCGTAATAGTACACCCTCCGGTCTTTCTAAACTTACTCCGGTCCGCGGCACGTCCGACCCCCTGGAAGCCCCCCAGGCCATGTGAGAGTGAGGTCCTTGCGAGGATAGCTGCCTCCTGCATTGCCAGCAGGAGGGCTGCCTGTAATTACAGGCGGTCCCCCTGCTGGCTGGAAATCAAATTAAATTAAATTAATAAAAGTTAAATAAGTGTAAAAAAATATATATATACTTAGATCATATATATATATATACACATATACATACACACACATACACTGTCTAGGTGTATTTTACTATTAATATATATATAATTATATATATATTATTATCAAATTACATGTAGACTGATACTGATTAAATATATATATAATTATTGTTATATATATATTTATATATAATATAAAAAAATTAAATCTGTAAATACGTTAAAAAATAAAATTAAAAAATAATTTAAAAAACTAATTAAAAAATATATAGATGTGTGTTATTTCGTTCTAACTGTATTTTCATATTAAAATATATATATTTATATCAAAATACACATAGAACGAAATAATATATATATCTATATACATAAATATATACGTATATATCACTATATATATACCTATATATAAATAAAAATATTTAAAAAAATTATATATATATATATATATACATATATATTCACATACATATATATATATATACATATAGTAATTCTACATATATATTTATATAATATTTTTACATAATTAGGTATCTTAATTAATTACAATTAGCGGGACCTGCCTGACAACCCATGCCGAAAGTAAAGGGAATTTAATTTACTAGCACTATATTTAACCCTATAACTTTCCAAGACACCATAAAACCTGTACATGGGGGGTATTGTTCTACTCGGGAAGCTTCGCTGAACACAAATATTAGTGTTTCAAAACAGTAAAATGTATTACAACGATGATATCGCAAGTAAAAGTGACTTTTTTTGCATTTTTCACGGACGATATGATTGCTGCGATAATTTTTACTGTTTTGAAACACAAATATTTGTGTTCAGCGAAGTCTCCCGAGTACAACAGTACCCCTCATGTACAGGTTTTATGGTAGCCCAAGAATGAAAATTACCCCTATGATGGCATACCATTTGCAATAGTAGACAACCCAAGGTATTGCAAACGGGGTATGTCCAGTCCTTTTTAGAAGCCACTTAGTCACAAACACTGGCCAAAATTGGAGTTTATTGCATTTTTCACACACAAACAAATACTAACACTAACTTTGGCCAGTGTTTGTGACCAAATGGCTACTAAAAAAGACTGGAAATACCCCATTTGCAATACATTGGGTTGTCTACTATTGCAAATGATATGCCATTATGGATGTAAATTTCTTTCCTGGGCTACTATAAAGTCCCAAAGGCAACGTAACCAATCTGGTGATTTCAATTTCAAATGTAAGGTGCTATATTTGACCCTGTAACTTCCCAAAACTCCATAAAACCTGTACATAGGGGGTACTGTTTTACACGTGAGACTTTGCTGAATACAAATATGTGTATTTTATTGCAGTAAAAGCAAACAGTATTATGACATTGACCGTTAAAATGTCATGTAGAACTAAAAAAAATAAAATAAAATCTTATTTTCTCCCATTTTTTCATATTAAATTATGTTTCATAGCTAAATCTTTGATATTAAATGAAAGCCCTGTTTCCCCTGAATAAAATTATATATAATAAGGGTAGGTGTATTTAATATGAAAGAGGTGAATTACGGTTGGACAGACATGTAGCGCAAATGCCAGGTTTTGTTTACATTTTGTTTCGTTCACAACATGTACATTTGGCTCCGTCCTTAAGGGGTTAAAGTAAAGAGAGTAGCAAGGTTGAATTCTCTGACTGAATCGACATATATAATGCCCATGTTTTACTTTTGCCAAGCCCAGATTATTTTAGGGACTGATGTGGCCGAGCTCCATGCCCGTGTCCATGTCCATGGAATAGGGCTAGGCCCATTAATAAAAAAAAAAAAATACTCTTAAACTGCTCTTGCTTTGTGCAGAGGAAATTAAGTATGGAAGAGGGTGTAGGGGAAGAAAGCTTGTGTGTACTGGCTGACAATGAAATTAGTTAAGGTAGCTCTTGCTGTTTTGGTCTCTTTAACACTGGGGCATGTCCCCTTTCCACATTTTCTTTGTCCCAGACTGCATACCAGAGCTTCTGACAGCTAGCAAAAAGGTAAGGAGAGAAGTGGACAAGCAAATGCTAGGAGACAGTATCCACCAGGGCCGGACTGGGGATTCCAAAGCAGCCCTGGAAAAAAATCTATGCCAGCCCCATAAGTCATTGCGCCATATATTGTCGCATGTAATATGTAAGGCTATGTCTTGCATCCCTTGATGATATATATATATATATATATTGGTCCTTTCAGAGTAAAATTTTTAATTATACAGACACACACACACACACCATGACACACACACACACACCATGACACACACACACACACACCATGACACAGACAGACACACACAATGACACAGACACACATTGCATGACACAGACAGACACACACACACACACACCATGACACAGACGCACACACCATGACAGAAGAGACACACACACACCATGACACAGACAGACACACACAATGACACAGACACACATTGCATGACACAGACACACACACACACACCATGACACACACACACACCATGACACAGACAGACACACACAATGACACAGACACACATTGCATGACACAGACAGACAGACACACACACACACCATGACACAGACAGAGACACACAATGACACAGACACACATTTTATGACACAGACAGACACACACACACCATGACACAGACAGAGACACACACACACCATGACACAGACAGACACACACACAAATGACACAGACACACACACATACACTCACACTGACACACATAATTGCTACCTGTGTGCTGGTGGCCGCATGGGGAGCTCTGATGGCGGCCACATGGGGGGAGCTGGCTGTTCTGTCTCTGCTCCCCCGTCCCAGCATGCTGCTTAATGAGACAGGGACCACAATATGACGTCATGTTCCCCGGTCTCATTAAGCGGCACGCTGGGGAGGGGGAGCAAAGACAGAACAGCCAGCTCCCCCTGCGGCCGCCAAAAGAGCTCCCTCTGTGGCCGCAGGTCAGCCAGCTGCCTTCCCGGCCCCAGGTGCCGACGGCCGACCTTTGCAGAGAGGATATGAAATGTTCACCACACAAAATAATTATTATTTTGGAGAGTTTAACTCTCTGAAAGCAAAGTTTTGTATTGCATTTTAAGTACTGTTTTATATTTTAACCCAAATAGGGTCATTTTTGCAGTCATCGCAAAAATCTATATCTTTCACAAAGGGTGGAAGAGCTGAATATGCTGCAAAACTTGGATTCCCAAACAATGGGAAATATCCAGAAGAAAATATATTTGCAGACTGGGTGGCATCTGTTGTAGACAATCCACTGTTAGTTGAATTTGAGGTAAGTTAGTAATTTCAAATATACATAGTGGTTTTCATTGCATATTATAAAATAAAGTATACATTTTATTTTCTCAGAGATTCTGCTATACTATTTGTTACGTTCATTTTTAATGACTGCATTTTTCCAGAAAAAAAAAAAACATGTGCAGTGCTGCAGGAGCACACTATTAGGGATGGATCTACTCCCCTTTTCCCCACAAAACTAGTGTCCTCAATGCTAGCTAATCTAATTGATGAATGTGACTAGGTGGATGGTGGGATGATAAGTGGGACAGAGCTGAGAGAGGCTATGTTTGTGTGTATGTGTATGGAGGCTGCTTGTTGTTGTATGTTTGTGGGAAGCTGTTTGTGGGGTGCATGTCTGGGGGTGGAATCTTGCTGTTTTGCATTTGTGGTTGTAGTGGAGGAAAAGGGGCTGTAGAGGGAGGATTAGGTCTGTAGCAGAGGAATAGGGGCTGAAGTGGGGGATAGTAGCTATGGTGGGGGGTAATGGTTATGGTAGGGGGAGTGGCTATACTTGAATGACAGGGGCTGTGGTGAAGGGAAAGGGACTGTAGTTGGGTGACAAGGGCTGTAGTTTGGTAACAGGGGCTGTTGTGGGATGTACTGTAGTGCGGTAACAGGGGCTGTGGTGGGGTGATAAGTATCTTCCCCTCTCCCAGGGAGGGGTGGAATTATTTTCCCTATGGTATAGTGGGAGATGAAGTAAGTCTGCACCCCCTTGCTGGTGCCAGGACATGTATCAGATCATTGTAGTGGTAACCTGCGGTAATGCTCCAATATAGTACAGAGGCTTTCCATCCCTGTGTCCGTCCCCATGTGTTTATTTCAATGTACTGGGTTTTGCACAGTCCTCATGCTAAGGTGTTATTCACCCTGATTATTCCAGCTTTGAAAACTCAATCAAATTAATATTAATATTGCTTTTATGTATAACAATAATATTGCTTTTATTTGCCCCTTCCCCTCTGACACATTTGTCATCTGTCTTTGTTTTGACATCATTGTTAAAACATGCCCTTTCTTTTGATAAAAACAAGATACAGACCAGTGACATACCATTCCTTTGATGCAAAGTAGCTACATCAAAACCAATCACAGTTCTGACGCATGTGCACATCTGCCATTAGGTGCAGTAAAAAGATTACAAAGCTACAGAAATATACCATACTTTAAAAGGTCATCACCGCCACAGTATTACTTTAATTTAATGAGTATTTTGAGTATTACAGTGTATTATTACCTGATTTGTTTCTCATTAGCCCAATTTTCCTTGTAACCTTCATTATAAGGAATTTACTGGATTCACGGAGGCTACCAAACAATTGCTTTCACACCTGTATTTCTGTCAAAGAAATCCTGGAAAGTATTCGTTATGGCAAAATATTTCTTAAATGTCTTTCTTTTTTAAATCTTGCTTTAAAAGTATAACAAGAGTTTATTTTACATAACTTATAGTATTGTTTACTTTTTACTGCCAAACTCACAATTCTCTTTAATAAGAGTCAATGTTTTGTGTTTTTTGTCTTCAAGTTGGCCCCAATTCTTGATTTAATAAGTGGATTTCCATGCTCAGTAACAAAGAAACGGAACCTCCTGAAAGCTTTTGATACCTATATGGGGAGGTTTGACCCATGTAAATGTTCGCCATGCCCCAACAATGCCAGGGCAGTTTTGTCGGGCAAAGAATGCCTCTGTATTTGTGGAACTGGGACCTACGGTGAAAGCTGTGAAAAGCGAGCACCGGATTACAGTTCAGGTACATGAATAATGTATATTCCATATATGTGATTACGATCAAAACTAAGTTAAATTTTATCAACAACACTATACCATATGGTTAAATGGACAAATGTTTAAAATAAACTTCAGTTTTGTGACCACATAGAAGATTTTGTTTTAGGGATAGATTAGTCTATCCCTATTTTCTTGTATCTTAAACTGTGGTTTCACTACCACTCCCATAATTGTACTCAAGCCTTTGCAGCCAAAATTAGCTAAAAAGCTGTTGTTGAACACTGTTAGTTTAAGCTAAGCAAATTCAAATAATAATAAACTCAAATAATAAAGGAGTTAAATTTTGCTCAGGTGGAGGTAGATATCATTTAAGAAGCCACTGATGTGTGCACTGTAACCAAAATATGCTGGTATTTTCTGGATCGATAGAGCTATCTAATATTTCTGTCTTTTTTTATGCATGTAAAGCTGTTGTTGATGGTTCGTGGAGTTGCTGGTCCCCATGGACTAGCTGTGATGTTTCCATAATAAGAACAAGAAAAAGAGAGTGTAATAATCCTGCTCCTCGTAATGGGGGTAAGGCGTGCGAGGGCGAGAAAACACAAGAAGGACGCTGCTTTATCTCTCTATTTGAAGACAAGTAAGTCAAATATATCATATTCTTTGATGAAGGGCATAACTAGAACTCACAGGGCTTGATGCAAGAATCAAAGAAAAGTGATTTACGTAATAAAGTGGACATAAGTGTAATTTTTTTATTTGCTAAAAAAATTAGATTTTGTTTTTTGTTCATTTTAAATAAAATATATTGTCTCATCAAGCACTTTAAAAGATGGCCGTCAATGATAAGGGCAGATTGTGTTTTCTAGGCTTGGGCACAAATCCCACGAACGAATCATATGCTTGTTAATCGCTGGCTGACCAAATTGATTTATTCGTAATTTTTCCGAACTAATCTATTTGTTTGTCCAGCCATTAGCTGGACCAAATCTATGCAACTCTATAGTTTTCTAACCTCGTACTGCATAGAGAGTGACTTCAGCAATGCATTAGTCCCCATAGAGCCCTGTTTAAAGGATATCATGCAGTATGGAAGACCCTGATATAAGGGAAAAGCTACGACATGTCCTCTTCTACCTTAGTAGAGATTAGTGGGACTTTTGCTCCCAGTATTAACATCAGCAGAGCAATCAAAACATCTCAGTGTTGAATCCCAGTTAGATCACTACAACAATGAGTGACCTTGGGCAAGACACCAACAATATATATCCACCTATCTCAAATCCCAGTAGACTGTAAATTCATTTGAGCAGGGTCTTCATTACCTCCCTCTATAATTGTAAAGTACTGCAGAATATGCTGGCGCTATATAAATAATAATAATTTCTTCCAGATAATAGATATCATTTGCTTCTGCCGCCATTTTATTATAATCCCTATCACATTAGTGAACTATATGTATTTATTGAGAAAGGGTCCAAATTAATGGCAGGAGCAATTGGGAGCCACTGCCAGGAGTGTTATATCAGACAGGTACATTCATGCCCTAAACCTAAGTCTTGTTTTAGCAATATCTCTAATCTAACTCTAGCTCTCATGCTAACCGCTAAATATTGTGTAATATTAAAGATAATTAACAGTGAAGGTTGTATCAGGGGGATATAATGACATTTCTGGGTTCTGGAGTAATTCATAGTCTTCTTGATCTTTGGTCTTGCAAATAAACCTCTTTTTCTTCAGAGCAGCACTGTGTATTAATGAAAATGAGGAAAAGAAGGAAATAGACCAAGAACAACCAGATCGTGACAGTGGATGCCGTAAACCAGATCCACCAGAACATGGATACATCGTTGTAAGTTGTTGTTTCATATTGTTTTGTATTGTGTCTTGTTCTAAACTAAAATAATGAAACAGTTCCATGGACATGATGCAGCTTTGCAGATGTTACAAATGCTTAGATTCTATTTATTACAAAATTTAATATATTACAATCCTTTTTTTTTTTTTATCTTGTTTTTATTTAAATTTTTATGTTGATTACATCGGTCATTAAAGATATGACCCAAAAAAAACAATCAAATACATAGGATACAGAAAAGAAAAACGGCGGGGGAGGGGAACAGACCATAAAATGTTTGCCAATTGCATGTAAATTTATAAACAATAACATCACATGCAGTATCATTTATCTCTCTTACGTATATTGCAAACCACTATCTTGTCTACAGGAGTGGGGGGGGGGGGGGGGAAGATTAAAAAGATTTCTTTCTTTCCTTTCTCTTTTCCTTTTTATATTTTTATTTTTTATTTTTTTAAGGGCTATGTAGCAATATTCATCATTGGTATATACTGATCTCTTATTTCCAACCACTGTTGCCATCTTTGTTTATATAGATCCTCTCTACCCTTAACTCGGCTTGCTATTTTTTCATAGAGGCTAAAAGAATCAAATCTGCTCAAGACCTCTGATATTGTTGGTGTTTGTGTTTGTTTATGAGCAATGGTAATTTTTGTTGCTGTTAAGCAATGAATAATCATATATATTGCTTCTTCCCTAAATTGTATAGGGAATATATGGAGTAAAAAACATTATGGTCTGAATGGAACAGTGACCTTCAGTGCTATCCTAAAAAAATTTTCTATATCCTCCCATAGTTTAGTAATGCTCGGGCAAAGCCAAAAGATATGAAGTATAGACCCCTCGTGTTTTAAACAACGCCAGCATAAGTTGCTCGTTCCTGAGTAAATATGTGCTAATTTGGCTGGAGCCCAATACCATCGCATAATAACTTTGCAGTAAGTTTCCAAGTGATCAAGACTACAGGAAACCTCTTTAGTTTTCCTTTGTGCCTGAAACCAAGTTGTTAGCGGGAATGATTCCCCTAAATCACTTTCCTATTTTAGAACATATTTCTGTTTCTTAGGTTCCCCCTGTGTTAGCAGAGTATTATAACAAAAAGACAATGTTTTGCTGTTAGGTAATTTCCTCGTGCATTTTAGTGCAAACGATGTTAGTGACTGTATCTCTTTAATTTTGTTTATGTATAGAATATTCCTAATCCTTAGATATGTGAATATTTCTCTGGGTGTAGGGAGTACTCTTTAACCAGTTCGGGAAATGATTTGGCACCTGAGCCATTAAGTAATGACCTTATATGACATATACCTAGCTGTGTCCAAGGTTCCAACTGCAGGTCTGGAGTAAAAACAGTCAGAGTCTGCAGAGGTGCAACAAATAATAAATCTTGTCCTACTGAAAGTTTGAGAATTGACTCTCTCCATATATGGAGAAGAGTTTTTGTGGTTGGGAACAACTCTGTTGCCTTATTAGGTACTATATTCCCAGACCATAGTGCGAACGATAATGAGCCTTGTAAAAATCATGCACTTTCTAGTGCCAGCCACAATGGAGACCTTGAGCAAGTAGTGTAGCCTTATAATAAATTTTGACATTTGGAACACCTAAACCACCTTTAGCAAATGGAGGCCAAAGCTGGTCTTGTGCGATTCGTGGGGGTTTCCTTTTCCAGATATGCGCATTGATAAGTGCCTGGAACTTCCGAAGTATGGTATTTGGAATGGTAATTGGCAATGTCCGAAAAAGATATAGGATATGGGGCAGAATCATCATTTTTATTGTTTGTATACGACCCAACCAGGATATTTCTTTATTTTCCCATTTTTTGAGTTGGCGGTCTAATTTATATATTAATGGTAGATGGTTTTCTTTTATTATCAACGTTTGTGTTATGGGAAGTTTGATACCTAAATAGGATATGGATGTTTTGCGCCAGTCAAATGGATATAATGATTTTAAGCGTTGTATAGTAGCTGTTGAGAGCCCTAGTACCAATGCCTGTGATTTTTTTGAATTATTTTTATAATATGACAATTGGCCATATCTTTCAAGCATGCTCAATAATTGAGGTATTGATGATTCTGGGTCTGATAAAAATAATAGGACATCATCTGCAAAAAGAGTGATTTTTAGATCCCCTATTGGGGTATTTAAACCTTTGATTCCTTTCTGAGCTTTAATATGTCTTACAAGGGGTTCCATGCACAAAATGAAAATCAGTGGGGATAGTGGGCATCCTTGTCTGGATCCATTTGTAATATATTACAATCTAAGCTTAAAGCATACATTTTGGTGGTGTGCAGGAGAAGATCCAGGCTACTTGGGGATGTATAGACTGTGGGGGTTCCTATGTGGGAAATATATATTTTTGTGTGTTTTCATATTTTGTTATTTTATGCTTAGGCATGGTGACATGGCATTTTGGGGACATTTTGTAGGCGAGTTTATGGGAGTGTCATGGTAGTGTCATGGGTGTGTTTGCTGTGTCCCCGTATTGTATAAAAACAGGCCATTGAGCCTCGATTAAACAGATTTGTTTTACCCTTCATCAAGTCTAGGTTGATGTTCCGGGACTTGGGAGCTATAATCACTACATCACTTGGGGTTTGGGAGACTAACAGCGGGTATACTCTGCCGGAGTATAGGGGATCCATCACACAGACTTTTTTTCCATGGTTTCAATGTGGGTTACTTAAATAATTCTGGATTTGGTATTTGCAGGATGAAAAGAATTGGTATTCTATAGCTGATGAGGCTGAAATAGTCTGTCTAGCGGGATATGAACTTTCTGGGTACCAGTTCCTACGGTGTCTTCCAGATGGCACCTGGAAGCAAGAGGCTGTTGAGTGTAAAAGTAAGTGTTTATTTTAAGTCTCTCTCTTCCATTTATATGATAAGGCTCTTTTTTTCAGCAACTTCTTTATTTTTAGTCTATATTATACTAAGGAAGATGCAACTAGGGACAACTTGGGGAATCTTGGAACTGTTCTACAATTAGTAAGTTCACCCTATTCTCACCAGGAGTGGCCAAAGTTATTAATATCCTGGGAAAGCTATGACTATAAGCACCATATAAACACCATATAACAAACTGACTATGTAGAAACTTAGTACGTAAACGCAACTACTGTATAGGTTTGGTAAGTTGCTCAGTTGAGTCTGTAAAATAGAATAAACAGTAAATTTGCTCAATTCTGGCAGCAAAGTAGAGTCTGAGTGAACTCAATCACGAGCCTGTGCAGTCTGTCTTAATTATCCATCTCATGTTAATAAAGCTTAAAGGGTTATAACAAGAACCATAACCACTTCAGTGATTTGATATTGTCATGGTGCCTAGAGCCGGTAGTTGTTATGACGCTTGGAATGACCCTTTAATGAAGTGAATATTTTAAGATATTTCTGATGTAACCATTACCACTGCTCTTTTAGTAGTGGTAGTTTTGCATCCCATGCTTATTTAGGCGCAAAGAAAAGAAAATGACTGATATAACTATTTTAAGTTGTATATTTGCAAATGAACAATAAAGTTTGTTTTTATCAGCAAGATTTTAACGTTTGTGAGTTTTAAGCAACAAGGTCGCGCGACTGGGAAATATTTCTTCATTGTGTAAAAAAACCGGGTTGTCTTGCCATCTGACTCTAAATAATGATAATAAATTACAGGTCAAAGAATTTGTGGAGAGAGTATTTTTATAAAGTAGATGTGGCATGAATGTCGACTTGCAAAGTATGCCAAAAGTGGACCCAGTTGAACAGGGAATGAACCTACTTTACCTTATGGCTCTCTTATTTAGGAATTAAAAAACAATTATGATTCGTTGATGTCTTCTTTTTTTCTATTTCAGGAGCGATGTGCTCAAGACCATTAGCATCCGAAGACATCACAATATTCCAGTATAAAAAAGAATATAAAGTCGGGGAAACTATTCAGATATCCTGCCCTCAAGATTTGGTTGTAACGGGTCAAAACATCTACAGATGTGGAAGTGATTTCACGTGGGATCCTCCTATATTGCATGAACTTGCTTGCGAGAAAGGTTAGATTTTGAAGGATTTTTTAAAATAATTGATTATGTGCATTAAGATTTTTGCAGTATATTATCCATACAATATCTAATTGAGAATGTAAAAACTTAAAAAAATATTTTTTACAAATAATAAGCACATGTAAAACTAATTGGAAACTCCTCCTTCTGTATTGTGATTGGATGAAATTAGAGTGGTTTGTGATTGGATGGACTGTAATGGTTATTAATTATTAAAATGGTAATAAAATGTGCTAGAGCTGTCAAGAAATGTATTTTTTTGTCTCCCAAGTAGTTTTCCGTTCCTAAAAGATCGTACTTACATCAGTGCCAAATGTTTCTCTTGTGATCTTGATGCACCTCGTTTTGTCCATTTCTATATTGTTTGGGCAATGTTGCACATAACATCACAGGGTACACAAAGAAGCAAACAGTCACTCTCTAAAAGCGTTGCTACTGTGCTGGAGTGACTTTCAAAACTATAATTATAATGTGACTTTGTGAGACTTGCTTTGAGAGATTTCTCTGTGGTAGATATGTAGGTTCAGATGTGATGGTTTACCAAATTGTGTATTTTTCTACTCCAGAACCAGCTAAGGTATTTCAAGGAAACTGTGATCCAGGCCAAAAGCAAGTGGGATCGGAATGTGTCTGCGTGTCCCCAGAGCAAGATTGTCGGTAAGGCGTTAATGTATAGCTGATGGAAATCACAGGTAGTAACATAGTAACAAAGCCCCATGAAAATGGGAACAATATATCCTCATCCCCACCACCAGACACTCTTTTAATGGTTTTTGATAGTACAGATCACGCTGTCATCACCTCCATAAATTGAAGACTGACTTTAAATTACTGAGTTGCAGTAGATTGACTTTAAAAATATCAACTTGGAAAGTTGAGTTTAAAAAAGGTCTCCTCAAAATAGGGAGATGTTATATTGATATTGTATTGTGATCATATGACTGGAATGCCATTCAACCCATGCAGAAAAAAAAATTGCATTGAAAAGGACACGTTTTGTATGAATGGGTACAAGATTTATGGTTAGGGGTGTTTGAAGGAACACTCAAATCATCTTTAGCTTGTTGAAGTGCTTTATGTGTGAAGAGTGAGACCTATTTTTTTTCTTTTTTGAGTTTTATAAACATTGCAGATTTCAATAGAAATTGTCACTTTTATAAATTATCCTTGTTACACCCCTCTGGCTGAAAGTAGGAGCACCGGTCCTGTTACTTCCTGATTCTTTTCCTCAGTGGAGCTAAACTCAAGAGGAAGACAATTGTCCAGAGCACCTGTCTTGCAAAGATTTCTCATTGAGCTCCATTGGGAAGTCTGTGATTGGACAGTCACAGAAAGTTTGGGCTAGTGAAGAAGGAGAAGGCTTGCAAAGGCTTTAGATAAGAGATCTGCAGCTTTTAAAATCTGGTTTAGATATATCTAGTGAAATACCCGATTGTTACTGTTATATATACAGTTAGTTTTGTTAATATTTTAGATGATTGAATTTGATTATTTACGTCCAGAAAAAAAACCCAGTAATGCTGTAAAATGTTTTGAGATATGGTCCTGAAACATTAAATCTCTGATCTCTCCTTTTATTTGATTAGGTATGACAAAGAACATCTGTGCATATATGATGAAAATGCTGATAGTGGCGTCACTATGTCACTCTGTCAGTACCTGGCCGAGAAGTGCTTGGGAACTAAACAACTTGTTTTCTTGAATAATGGGCCGTGCAGGAATGTCAACCTAAACTGGGTCCGTGATAGACTGACCATGTCTGTGAGCAGTGTAAAGAAAGAACCTTGCGGACATGATTTCTGCTATGACTGGGAAAGATGCGCAGGTAACATCAAGGGCTAACTTGATTAATATGTCAGCTATTAACTAGTCTAACCTCTGAATTAAATACACAATGAATTAAGATGTTGACTTTGACTCATTCTGGCACAGTTCACATCTAGTTCACAAACCACATGGATAAATGTTGATAGTTGTTGCTGTGAATATTCCATGTTAATGCAATTTATCAACTTATAAATCTTGGTAAAGACACTGCTGTTGAAGATTTACCTTTCTGAGCCAGAGGCTGCACCCTGCCACTTACTTACTTTTTTTACCTGCTGTCTCCCGGTTTAAAATCAGATAAGCTTTTCAGATGATTTAATATTTTTGGATAAACCTTTCAAATTAAAATTTTCAAAATATTAAAATAAAAAAAAATACCATATGATATGTTGATATTAAAATATCAACTTATTATGATATTAAAATATTTTTCAAACTATTACATCATTTTATAAGTTTATACAGAAATGTTAGATCATTTGAAAAGCGTATCCAACAATATTAAATTAAGGCCCAGGTAGACCGTATCAGTATTCCTGCTTTTTCGAGACAGATTTCCTAGGGACATTAAGGATCATGATTTCTATCAATACCGGTTTATTTTAATCAAAACTTCAACAGCACAGTTATTCGGTAGATATTTTGTTGTTTGTTAAAACATATACAGTACAGTGCCCACAATATAATATGATTATAGAATTTGTGTCTGTATTCATTTCATTAATGTATCAGTCTGTGATTCTATGACACTGATATTTTTTATACTCTGCAGGTTCTGAATGTTCATGTATTAACCCGAGTCAGTGTCCAGAGAATGATGCCCAGTTATATTGCGTCACAGTTGGAACTTCTGGAAAGCAAAGAACCGTTAATCACTGCGCATTAGCAACCATAAAATGTAGAAATATGAAAATGGAAATTCTTTATAATGGAGAATGTACTTCGTAAAAAGGTCACAGTGAATTAATACTTATTCATACACACATCCACAGAAAAAGTCATGTAATCCTGTCTGATGAAAAATGCTAACGTTTTATATTTACACTAGCTTTTTGTGGTCATTAATTGTATTCATAGTCTAAAGAGTTATGTGAGGATAACATCCTGTATTAAATCATCTTTCTGATATGTCAACAATATTCTACAATTTTGCTATATACTTCAAGCAATAAACATTTTTATAGTAACTAGTTCCAGATTGTATTTCTCTGTGTAATATACATATCATGGCTCCGTACATATTAAAATTGTTCTTACATCTTAATTTTTAAAATTATTCACTGTAAATCATTAAACACAGATTAATACTGTTATGATGTGCAACAATACCGCTTAGTTTGTAACCCTCAAAGACTTACTGCTACTGAAAGCCAATCAGAACCTGTTATTTTTTCAATTGAACTGATTGTCTCCCAACTTACACTGTGCAGAGGAGAGTAAAATGCATGGAACGCCTCGTACTGCAGAATATTCTCAATGCCCAAAGGAAATCCAGAAATATAATAGTATAGTTTTGTACAGCAGAGTTAACATTGTTGAAGGCAATATTTTAAAGTGCTCTATGCAGTGGCATACATACGGGGGTCGCAGGGGTCGCGGCTGCGACCGGGCCCGGCCCACCAGGGTATGTACCCAGAGTGGCCAGCCTCAGCTCCTGGGTGGCCCAGGAGCTGGCCACCTTAGGGCCCCCCGAGGCTGGCCCTGCTGTTACCTGGCGGGCAGGCGCGCGCGCGAAGGAGCACTCTCCCCTGAGTGCTTCCTCTTCACCTCCCTCGCGCACCACACTGATACCCGAACTGGAAGATGACGTCAGCTTCCAGCTCCGGCATCAGTACGCAGCACGCGAGGGAGCTGAACAGGAAGCATTCAGGGGAGAGTGCTCCCTCACGTGCGCGCCAGCCTGCCCGCTGGGTGACACCACTGGACCCCAGGGAATCCCCTCAGCTCTCCCACAGGTAAGGAGGCTGGGGGATTACATTTTTTTTAAAAACGTGTGTGTGTGTTAGTGTTTGAGTGTGTTAGTGTTAGAGTGTATGTGTGTGTTAGTGTGTGTATGTGTTAGAGTGTGTGTGTGTGTTAATGTTAGAGTGTGTGTTAGTGTTAGTTTTTGTGTTTGTGTGTGTCAGTGAGTGTGTTACTGAGTGTGTTAGTTTGTGTGCGTCTGTTAGTGGAACTCCATTCCTTCCTTGCTTCCTCCTATGCCCGCCTCCTAACCCCTGTCAAGGCCTTTTTTCGCTTAGCTGCGCTTTGGCTACATGGGGCTACATTACGTACCACAGGTAAAAACTGTTTGATTATTTATATTTGTAGTGGTTATGGTGTTTGGAGTGTCCCTTTAATTAGTTTACCTTGTATCATGAATACTGTGTTTTATCAATAAAGATGCATTAAAAATATGAAAAGACAAAAACATTTTATTGGTTGGCAAAAAGAAAAAAAATTACAATTTAGTTTAAGATGAGAATCACATGGCTTGACACACTGAATTAGTGAGCTCTTACAAACTGTAATGTTTTTAAGGATGAAAGAATCCTTGAACTGTTGAAATGCTGAGTTGATTTGACATGCTTTGTAGCAGTTTGGATAAATGAAGCATGCAGCACTGTGATTTTTCTATGTATCACAAGGACTTATGCTGACAATTGCGACATTCACCCCTTGGCACTTAAGGACTCCTGCCTCGCATTCAGTCAGGGTTTGCGTTGTGCCATCTACTTCAACACAAATGCTGATGCATGTTCGTCGTTCATCTAGACAGTGAAGGAATACAATATATTAATGGGAAAGTCATATTGAAGGCATAGTGAAACAGCAAATGATTAGACAATATCAATATTTTTCAACTTCATTACACAGCATGTTTTATTTAGAATTTCTGACCCCCACATTGTTAATAGCAAACAGTAGCTTCCTGTGTGTGATTAAAGTTCAATTAACAGAGCAGGACATAAAAGCCTCCAACGTAAACACACTTTGCTGCAAGATCTGAATTAAAATTATTATTATTATTATTTTATTATTTATATACCGCTAGCAAATTCCGTAGCGCTGTACAATGGGTGGACGTAACCAGACAAATGGACGCACAGGGACAGAGGGGTTGAGGGCCCTGCTCAATGAGCTTACATGCTAGAGGGAGTGGGTATAGTGACACAAGGGTATAAGTAGGGTTAATGAAATAGGTTGCTAAAAGAGTATTCACTAAACGAGTATTCACTAACAACTGTTATTTTTGACAGTTGCAGGAGAGAAGTCATGGGGAAGGGGGAGGAAGGGTTGAATGAAAACCTGTTAACAAGTTAAATTATATGCTTTCCTGAAGAAGTGTGTTTTCAAAGATTTTTTGAAGGAGTGGGGCCAGGGTGAAAGTCTAACGGAGAAGGGAAGGGAGTGCAGCCCTGGAGAAGTCTTGGAGGTGAGCACTCAGATGCATGAGGACAGGACGTGAGGTCTCGCAGAGTGTACAGTAGCTCCACGGGCAGGGCTGGTCTTGGCCCCTTTATACCCCTGTAAAAAATCCTCCTGAGAACCCCCCCACACACATGGGTACAGACAGACCGGTCAGTCAGCCACACATACAGTCTCCCCACACACACACACACACACACAGTTACACGCAGATAGTCCACACACACAGAGGCAGACAGTCACACAGGCAGACAGCCACACACACACACAGGGCAGACAGCCACACACGGAGGCAGACACCACACACACACACAGTGACACACACAGGCAGACAGTCACACACACACAACGACCACACACACACAGACATCCACACACACAGGCAGACAGTCACACACAGGCAGGCAGTCACACACAGGCAGACAGCACACACACACACACACAGGCAGACAGCCCACACACACACACAGGCCACACACACAGGCAGACAGTCACACACACAGGCAGACAGGGCAGACAGTCACACACACACACACACAGCAGCAGACAGCCACACACACACACACAGGGGCAGACAGCCACACACACAGTGACATACACAGGCAGACAGTCACACACACACACACACACATGTACTCACACACACAGAGGCAGACAGCCACACACACAGACATCCACACACACAGGCAGGTAGTCACACACACACACAGGCAGGCAGTCACACACACACAGGCAGGCAGTCACACACAGGCAGACAGACAGTCACACACACACACACACACACACACAGAGGCAGACAGCCACACACACAAAGAGACATCCACACACACAGGCAGACAGTCACACACACACACATATAGCCCACACACAGGCAGACAGTCACACCGGCAGACAGTCACACACACACACACACACAGGCAGACAGCCACACACACACACAGGCAGATCTCACACACACACACACACACAGGTACTCACACACACAGAGGCAGAAGCCACACACACACACACACACACACACACACACAGGGGGACAGTTAAACAAACACACACACAGGCAGACAGTCACTCACACACACACACACATAGGCAGACAGCCACACACACAGGTTCTCACACACACAGAGGCAGACAGTTGCACATACTCACACACACTCACAAACAGGCAGTTACCTCTGTCCTTTATGGTTACCTCTGTCCTTTATGGTCTGGGAGGGAAGGCAGTGCAGGCAGCTCCTGGGGTCTGGTTGTTGGTGAAGCAGGGACTCCTTCCTGCTTCCCATGCAGCCATCATTTTAGCTCTGCCCTGCCGTCATTTGAGCTCTGCCCCCACCGTCAATTAGCTCTGCCCCTGCCGCAAGGTAAGCCCCGCCCCCGCCGCAATGCTGGGAGGTTTTTTTTAATCCCGGGTGGAGAATAATGAAATACTCCACCCGGGTAGCCGGCCATGTGTGAGCTGTGTCGGCTGTAGGGCACCCCCTGCTCCACGGCGCCCTGTGCGGCCGCACAGCTCACACACCCCTAAGGCCGTCCCTGTCCACGGGACATACTTTTGTATTAGGGAGGATAGGTAGGTTGGAGCAGCATTTGTAGGGACTTGTAAGCAAGCACCAGAATCTTAAATTGAGCCCTATATCTAACTGGAAACCAATGTAGGGACTGACAGAGCGGGGAGACATGGGAGGTGCAGGCGGACCGGAAAAAAAGGACTACAGGGGGAGGGGGGGGAGGTAAGTACTACAGGAGAGGGGGGGGAGGTAAGGACCACAGGGGAGGGGGGGAGGCAAGGACCACAGAGGGAGGGGAGGGGAAGCTGTAAAGACCAGGGGAGGGGAGGAGAGAGGCAAGGGACCACCAGGGAGGGGTGGTGGGTGACCACCAGGAGGCAAGGACCACGGGGAGGTATGACCACCAGGGAGGGGGGGGAAAAGCAAGAACCACTGGGGGAGGAAGGGGGGAGTAAGAACCACTGAGGGAGGAGGGGGAAAGTAAGGACCACTGGGGGAGGGGTGGTGGGGAGTAAGGACCACTGAGGGAGGGGAGGTCCACTAAGGGGTTTGGGAGAAGGAGGACCACTAAGGGGGGAAAGGACCACCAAAGGGGGGTAAGTAGGGAGGACCACTAAGGAGAGGGGAGGAGGGTAAGGACCACTAAGGGGGTGGGGGGAGGAGGGGAATGTCTACTAAGGGGTTTGGGAGAGGGAGGTCCACTAAGGGGAGGGATGGAGGACCACTAAGGGGGAGTGAGAAGACCACCAAGGGGGGACTACAGGGGGCCAAGGGAGAGCACTAAGGGACAGGAGGGAAGGGGAAATCAATAATTGACAGGAGGGTGAGCACTATGCAAAAAATTTAAAAAATAAAGAGCTGCTCCCCTCTCAGTCCCTATCCTACCCCACAAACCCTCTCTTTTACACTACACACATACACACATACACAATGCACCCCCCCCCCACAAACACACACACAGAAACATACAATGCATTCCTACTCACACACAGACACACCCGAAACACACAATGCATCCCTTACGTTCACACAAACTCATTCTCTTACACACAGAAACAAAATGCATCTCTTACACAATCAATGCATCTCAGACACACACTGCATTCAATCAAATACACAGAAACACACCTTGCACCCCTTACACACACACACACCCAGAAACATACAATGCATTCCTTACACGCAAACACACACTGCATCCCCTATAAACACACTACATCCCTTACAGAAATTGGTATCCCTATACACTACATTCTATAAGAACACACACGTTGCAGTCTCTACAATAACACATAAAACATCCCCTACACACATACACTCCACTTCCTGTGAGAGAACTCACGGGTGGTCCATGTAGGTGGATTTATGGGTGGGCATTGTAGGAATACTCACGGTCAAGCCCTGGGGGCCCAGACCTTGAGCTGTGTAAGGGGCCCTAAAAAATGGAGCTGCTTCCTGTTCGTTAATTGTTTTGAGCACTGTTACAAATCCTCATCTGGTGGTAAGTAGGCAATCCAATATATTATTAGTGGCACTAATCTCTAATTTACCTCACATTAAATGGATACTATAGTCACCAGAAGCACTACAGCATAATGTAGTGGTTCTGGTGTCTATAGCCTGTGCCTGTAGGCTCTTTAATGTAAACACACTGTCTTTTCAGATAAAAGACACTTTGTGAAGACTGGCGTTGGCCCATATGGCAGAGCATATGGGCGGGGTATTGTGATGTCACATGGTGGGCAGGACATATGGGGGGGGAGGCAAAAAATGTTTTGCCTAGGGTGGCAAAAATCCTTGCACCGGCCCTGTGTGAGGCCAAAGGAGGAGGTTACAGAGAGCAGAAAAAACACTCTTTTTTCATGCATGTCAGTCACGGCCAGCGGAAGTGTGACTAGGACTGCATGAATAAAAACAAGTGATTTGACTCCTAAATGGCAGAATACTGAGCAGTGAGACTACAGGGGCATTATCTGTATACAAAAACTGCTTCATTTAGCTAGTTGTTTTGTGTTTAGAGTGTCTGTGTAATAAAGAGACTGTGTGCTACATAAGGGCATCAAATGATCTTTCCTTAACAGCCTATCATTGAAAGCCAAAATGGAGTGAGATACTTGGATAGATTACTCTTAGTGTTCCCTCATATGCCTGTTGAAACTCAAGATAGTACTGGGTCGCCTGTACTTGACCCTCGATTGGAACATAAAATCCTTTAAAATGAACGCTAAAAAGAAAGGGGAAATACAAGGAGAGAAATAAAAGAAAGGAGACACTGAGGTAGGTAATTTCAAAATCCTAGTCCTTAGCTATAAAGCACTTGCCAACAGTGTCCCAACCCGCATATCTTTCCTAGTAAATATGTTCCATCCTGACACTTCACCCTAAAAACTGACTTCTGCCTCGATTCCCACACTCACTGCTAACTTTTGTTTTTAGAAGCTGCTCCGTTTTATGAAATTCCCAATTCCTAATCTATTAGACTTTCCCTGACTCTTCAATCATTTAAGAAAGCCTTAAAACCCCACTGCTTTAGAAAGGCATATCAATTATCCATATTATCTGACCAGGAATGGCAGTTGTTTCATAAATTTGTCTGATACCCACGTAACCTGAAAAGAAAAGGCACTGGAGAGAGACAGTGATAAACCCTAGAAGAGGTGGCAGATAATCTTTCATATACAAAGATTGATAAAGTGGTGATATAGAATCAAAAAATGTAAAAAAGACTTCTTGGGGGTCAGGGAAGACTAGTAAGGGGAGACTTTGTGAAAAAAAAACTAGGGGCAGATATGAATTAGGGAAGACACTAGCCTACATACCTAAAAAGACATATGCAGAGGGACTATATAGCCACTGCTCTCAAGGATCTTGGAGGCAAACTGCAGTAGCGATATAGGGCGGTAGTTGGATGGGGAATTGGGGTCCAGTTTCGTCCAATCCCACCCATCTCATGTGTCAAACTTTATTGGGAGAAATCAAGCCAATTGACTATCTCAAGGCAGAGTGGGATCCCTATTTAGTTAAGTCACTGTGAAGGACACGACCAAAGGGAGCACAGGCCACATTCCATCTGTGTGCCACTATCCATCAAATAGCAACTTCCAATAAGTGCCCTAAATCATAAGAGTTTACCAAGGGAGTTCATCAAGGAGGACACAAGGAGGAAAACAGCAGTCAGTGCTTCAATCAACATCTTCATTATCATCCACACCCTGTTGTGCATGCTGCATTTATGTTTGTGTTCTTTACCTAGCCATATGTGTAGTGTAAGTACTACTTTTTCACCATATATGCACTACTTGTAACTTATTTAATTTTTGTTTTCATCTCCTCCCCTCCTGTACATGGCTCCAAATTTGACCGTGTTGATATTCCTTGTATCCCTCTTCACATTCCTGTCATGTTCCTATCACTACCCTTTTAATCCCCACTGGTGAGTGCTGGTGGAGAGTGTTGAAATCAAGCCCTCCAACTCACCACCCCACAAAAGTATAAAACCTTACAATAGCAATACTACCACACTAAGATAATGTCCAAATTCCTATTACTCATGGTACTTGCCCTTGCAAATGATGTAGAGTCTAAAAGGCCTCTCCTTTGTACACTGTAACATCCGCAGCTTACTACCAAAAATTGATGCACTGCAAGCTTGGTGTTACAAAAGCATTGTACTCTCTGAATCGTGGCTAACCACAAAAATACCTGACTCTGCCATTGCAATACATGGGTATTCATGCCATAGAAATGACAGAGCAAGACGATGAGGAGGCAATGTAATGTATGTTGACAATTCCATAAAGTTTACCCCCTTACAAAACTTTAGGTCTCCTACCACCTTTGATTTCCTTTCTGGCAAAATAGAGATCCTCTACAGTAAATCAATCAATGTTGCAGGAATCTACCACCCACCTAGCTCCCCAGTGCATTCCCTTTCTGACATAGCCTATCTCCTTAGTGAAACCATAGCTCAAAACCCAAAAAGTGAATTTTTGGTTTTTGTAGATTTTAATATTGATTGGCTAAATCCTAAAATAATAAATAATAGTTCTTGCTCGCTGTTTAAGACTTTGCAGCTAACACAATTAATCTCCTCTCCAACTGGCATAAACATTAAAAGCCATAACCATACCCTACTGGATTAGATTCTCTCTACTTCTCCTGATAGAATCCAGGAAGCAGGTGTTCTCCCTAACAGTTTAAGTGACCACTGCTTAGTGTACTGCGTGCGCAAAATAAAGGCTACTAAATCCTCTCCAAAGGTTAAAATCACCAGGTCCTTCAAAATATTTAATCTTGAATACGTTCTAAATGACATCAAAAAACTCCCATGGCACAAATTAAACCTAATCCCAGATTTAGACTGTGCAGTTGTATTCTTTCAGTACGAACTCCTATAAGTTTGGAATTTGCATGTCCCGCTGGTTAAGGTGAGAGTAAAAGGGGCACATATGAACTGGATCACAGCTGACCTCATTCAAATGTACCAGTTTCGGGATTCATTGTGGTCAAAGATCAGCGTACTGGATCTATGAACGATCACTGTGCATATAGAAAATGGCACAAAACAATCAAAATTGGCCAAGGCCAAATATTTCTGTGAAAATCTGAACAATAACATTTCAAACCCTTGAAACTTTTGGAAGATCATAAATAACTTACAAACTCCCCCAATCCACTCCCAACCCTCCACTGTCAAAGTGGATAACCAAACCCTGCAACTTCCCTTAAAGGTAGCAAATACCTTTAACAATTATTTTGCCAGATTCTCCACCACCCTGATTGCCACGCTAATAAATGACACACATCCTGAAGCTACAAATATGGATCAAGCCCCAACTAAGTTTGCAAAGACACAATATAGAAAAGTTCAATTTTAGACCTGTACCTATTAGTGTCATTAAGAAATGCCTTAATAATCTAAAAATGAAAAGTCAGTCTGGACCTAGTCAAATCCCAGCAATGCTGTTGAAGCTGAGTGCGCTGGCAATTGCTAAACCTGTCACAACCGTAATTAACGAATCCTTGGTGTCTGGATACATCCCCAAACTCTGGAAGACTGAGAGAGTAGTGCCTATCCATAGAGGTGGTGGCACTTCTTTTATTTCTAACTATACAATATGATTGCTTCCAGTATTGTCAAAAATCTTGGAAAAATGCGTCCCTGCGCAACTATGTGAACATTAAAAAACAATCAAACTCCCTGACCCCTGATCAATCGAGCTTTCGCCCGAATCACTCAACTACAACTGCCCTCTTAAAAATTTGCAATGACATCCAAACTGGCATGGAACAAGAAGACCTAACTGGAACTATTTTCCTTGATTTTGCAAAGGCCTTTGACACAGTAGACCAAGACATTCTGCTGCACAAACTAAAAAACTCAGGTATTGGTGATTGTCTGCTAACCTGGTTTTGATCATATGTATCGGATCGATCACAATATGTGTCCATTTCTGACACCCACTCCCTCCCTCTCCCAGTCACTTGCGGTGTTCCCCAAGGTTCCATTTTCTGCCCCCTACTATTCCCATTATTTGTAAATGATCTGCCTAATGTATGCAAATCCTCAAATGTACACATGTACGCAGACGACACAGTAATCTATGCATGCAAATCCAATCTACCGCAACTTGAGGCTGTGCTGCAAGACCAGTTCACAGAGGTAGAAAAGTGGATCACAAAAAAACAAGTTGTAGTATATGCATCTGCACAGCAATCTCACATTAATAAACTCAATACATTGTAGAACTTGTTCTGCCAATTTGTGCTACAATGTAATTACAGAACCCACCAATGTGACATGCTAAAAGAACTAAACTGGCTGTTGCTGGAATCCAGACGCACCCTTCATCTTTCCAGCCTTGTGTTTAAGAGCTTTTCTGGGAAACTCTCCCGGCTGTTCCCACATCCTATAGTATCCGATCCAGTACCAGCACTTTATTTAGTCTTCCGCAATACAAAAAGAAAGCGTCTTGATCCTTCTTTTCCTACAGAGCATCGCACTTATGGAACAAACTCTCGCACACGTTTAATTCTTTCCCAAGCCTAAAATCCTTTAAGAGATCCCTCTCTACATACCTCAAAACAGAATTCCCGTGTCATGGTTGATTACATATTTCCTACCTGTTCTATGTTAAATATATTAAATATATATATGTTAAATATATTTGTATATATTATGTATTAATATTGTTTTTGTATTTTATTGTACCCTATTGTATCAATGCAATGTTTTGTGGACCCAGGACATACTTGAAAACGAGAGAAATCTCAATGTATCCTTTCTGGTAAAACACGTTATAAATAAATATAAATAAATAAATAATATATAGTCACTGCTCCCTAGCCAAGCCTTAGCTCACCAACGTAAAACACATACAACTTCTTTTTTAGTTGTCTCTAAAAATTTTAAAAGCACATATGTTCACCTGTTCATCACCATAAACCAATGTATACAGGAATTAACAAACACGTGGTCCAACTCCACCCCTTGATGCTGTTACCAATATAAAGCCTGGGAAGACATGACAATATGAAGGACTGTCTAGGATCTGATTGCCAATACAAAGCCAATGAGTGACATCAGAAATCGAAGAGCAGACTAAGCATGTCACTGGGGTCTGTAATGGGGTAACAGGACGACATGATCAGTTGCTCAGCCACTTAGCAACTACTCCAACCATCAATGAGTCAAATGTAGGGAACTGTGAAACTAATGACAGACACAACATACGCAGCATTAACCTGCTTTTTTTAGTTGTTGTTTTGTTTTGTTTTTATTTCAATGAAATCCAGGGAGAGGGGGGACAGTCCTTTGTAGACCAGGAAGTCATGTCACTAGTAAGACATTCCTATATTGACTGGTTCTCCTTTTGGCTAAATTGTACAGCTGGAATATCTCTACTCCACAACAGATGCAAATGTATATAAATGTATTAGATCATCAGCATAGATGTTATTTTCACTTTCATGTCTATAGCGTCATTCATAATGGTATATTACAAGCACTATATGTCTGAAATAAATACTTGAAATGAATAGTCAGCTCAGTTGACGATACTGATGTCTGCACATAGGTTGCTAACTGTCACAAATTTGCCAGGACTTTCCTTTGCTTTTGGCTCCTGTCCAAGCAAAAATGAAACTACCAGTAGTGTAGCCAGTGTAGCTGCCTCACGGGGCACAATAAGGTCACTAGAAATATATGTGTTCTTTTCCTACGTGTGTGTGTGCGCGCGTGCGTGTGTGTGTGTGTAACTTTGTGTACCTCTGGATATGTCAATGTGTCACTATGTGTAACTGTGTGTATGCATCTGTGTATGTTGGTGTCACTGTGCGCATGTGTGTGTGCGCCATTATACATGTATCTCTTTCAGTGTTTCTGTGTGAGTGTGTTTCTGTGTACATATGCAGTACTGACATCTATGGTGGCATACCCATTGTACTTAAGGAAACCCTTATACCTGAACAAACGTCCTCAGGATTACATGAGTAACATGGTGTTTCAGATGCCTCTTGGAATTTACAGTTTGCAGCTTCAGTCAGAGTATACGTCCTTCCCAGACATGTCAGAGCATTCATTTTACAAACTGTAAGTGGAACATTTTTCTTGTTTCTTCCATCAATGGCACACACATCAAGTGAAGGTCTAAAAGATAAATCATTTTAATGTCCATATCTCATGAAAAACTCTATTGGCTGCAGGTTTTGCCTCAAAAGCAAATATACTGATTTTGATTCAACATGGTAAAAAGCATTGCTAATTATGCACAAAATATTAAAGGACCACTATAGGCACCCAGACCACTTCAGCCCAAAGAAGTGGTCTGGGTGCCAGGTCCCCCTAGTTTTAACCCTGCTGCTGAAAACATAGCAGTTTCAGAGAAACTGCTATGTTTACACTGCAGGGTTAATCCAGCCGCTAGTTGCTGTCTCCCTGATTTACAGTAAATCGCACTAATTTGTCCTCACAGACCTCCAGCGTCAAAAAATATCCCCATAAGAAAGCATTGAGTAATGCTTTCCTATGGGTGGGTTTGATTGCGCTGGCCGCTCTTGCGCATTCGGCACCACTCGGGAGCTGATGTCGATTGAGGAGGAGAGGTCACCAGCGCCGAGGGAGCCCGGCGCTGGATTAAGATAAGCAAATAAATGGTTAATTAACCATTTGTATTCCTTACGCTATAGTGTTCTTTTAAGGGATATTAAGAGATTATATATAATACACAATAACAATTCTTTTACATTCATAGGGATATGTTGTAAATATATGGAAGGAATTTGGGTATAAATTTTACAGTTATTAGAATTGCGTCACCTCCTTTATATTGAGGTGCTTTGCCCCTATTTTTAGAGGAGATTTATCAAGTCAAAAACAGATGCTATTCTTGTGAAAATTGCTAAATAATGAGCAATCACCATGGAAACCAATAGAATGTCATTAAATGTCTTAGCAGTTTTGACCCAGAACAGCACCTGTTTTGCCTTGATAAATCTCATTGTTTGATTCCATCAGTTTTCCAATTCTTTGCTTTCCTGGCACTATAGATTTTTTTTAACTTTACCCTGGAGGCATTTTTAATCAGCTCTAAGCACAAATATATTGTAGTTTAAAGAGCTTAAAGGACCACTACAGTGCCAGGAATACATACTCGTTTTCCTGGGACTATAGTGCCCTTAGGTTGCCCCCACCCTCAGGGTCCCCCTCCCGCCCGGCTCTGGAAAGGGGAAAGGGGGTAAAACTTACCTTTTTCCAGCACTGGGCGGGGAGCTCTCTGCCTCCGATCCTCCTCCGTTCCTCCCCGTCGGCTGAATGCACACGTGCGGGAAGAGCTGCGCGCACATTCAGCCGGTCGCATAGGAAAGCATTATCAATGCTTTCCTATGGACGCTTGCGTGCTCTCACTGTGATTTTCACAGTGAGAATCACGCAAGCACCTCTAGCGGCTGTCAATGAGACAGCCGCTAGAGGCTTTGGGGGAAGGCTTAACCCATTAATAAACATAGCAGTTTCTCTGAAACTATGTTTATAAAAAAATGGGTTAACTCTAGCTGGACCTGGCACCCAGACCACTTCATTAAGCTGAAGTGGTCTGGGTGCCTAGAGTGGTCCTTTAATTTTAATTGTGACATTTTAACAGCACACCTATATACTATGTATATACATATTATACATGTTGATTTTTTCCAATAACGGTATATGATTGAAAAGTTTATGAAAATATTATCCAATTTAACTTTAAGCACAGTTGTAAATTGTTTTTAGATCAACTTATTGAATGTTGTTTTCCTTATAAATTGCTTGGGTTTAGATCTCGTTAGAGATACAAATTCACTCTGCTAAGAAAAAACACATTTAAATCATATCTGTCTCTCGTTGCTGTAAACAACAGAAAATAGCAAATTAATCATTACATTACCCGCATTCATATGGCATTTTACAAGTGCATTTTGAATCTTGGATTTTTTCCCATGGCTGGCATTTAGGTCCAGGTGTTTTGGGTGTCACTCCACTAACTGTAATAAAATACAATATACTGTTATTAAATATACAGAAGAGGCTTAGTAAAAGGTATTGTGCATCATTTAAATAGGGTTGGTAACGACTGCAGATGCAAACAGGCAGGTTAAATAACATAAGAAAGACACATGGAATATTACAACAAAAATTTAGCAATTGTGTATGATTTGTGTAGCCGCAGACTGGCCAGAGTGCCTATGATCACCTTTCAACTTATGAAAGCACCTTCAATGAGGATGTTAGCATCAGAACTGGACATGGAGCAATGGAAGAAGGTTGCATGGTCTGATGGTTCATGTTTTATTTTGGGCCTAGTGGATGACCGGGTGCATGTGCATCGTTTATCTGGGAAAGAGATGGCAGAAGAAAGTACTATGGGAAGTAAGAAGGCCGACGGAGGCAGTGTTTTCTCTGGACAATGTTCTTTCAAGGCAAAAGTGTTCTCTGATAGCAGTGATCTTTTTCAGCAGAATAATGCGCTCTGCCACAATGGAAAATTGTTCAGGAATAGTTTGAGGAACATGACAAAGAGTTCAAGGTGTTACCTTGGCCTTTAAATTCCACAGATTACAATCTGATTGAGCATCTGTGCGATTTGCTTAACAACAAATTCAGTCCATGGAGGCTCACCTTGCAACTTGTAGGACTTAAAGGATCTGATACCAGATACCACAGGACTCATTCAGAGGTCTTGTGGCGACTAGTCCTCAATGCACCAGAGCTGTTTTGACAGCTCGAGGGGAACCTACATGTTATTAGACAGGTGGTTTTAATGTTGTGGCTGACCAATGTATATGGTAACATAATGGTCCATTTTTATATTTTATGTTGGCTATATCAGTTGGATGTTTAATTTAATCTAATTTCCAGACAAAAAAATATGCATGTATTATGAAAATGTCTGAAATTTAATTGCATCATTTGTGATAATCCTTAGGGTAGTTAGACTAAAGTGTTTGTGGTAGCTCCAAAACAAGTTAGTTGACTTAGTGATTAATGCTTATACTAAGTCTAGCTGTGAAAGAACACAATATTGGAGATTTATCAAAGTGTCACCAACACTTTTCCATCTAATCAATATTTCAGTGAATTTTATGGGCACAATTTATTAAATTTTGTGTCATAGCAGTTAGTTTTGCATATGTACCTCTTTTCACCAACGCAATAAATTAATGAATATTTCCATCACGTTTTCCAACAGAAAAGTGGTGTAATTATTGCACCACTATAAATTTGAGGGACTTCTGCATCATAAATGTCTGTGAAAGCTGAAATTTTAGGTCATTTTTTAGGTCACTTTAATAAATATGATCAACATCATGACAGAATGTAACCACCACTTTTCAGAACACTTTGATAAATAACTCTCCTTATATTCAGAGGTGGACATCGATTAGTACTCTACAAGCTTCACTAGTAGAAGGTTATGAGTTAATATGAATTACACAACAAATAACGGAATGATGAATCTTAATCAGAGTTTGAATTACTTGCCTTTTCTTTTACACTGAACACCTTGGGTATCAGGATACCAGCTGAGACTGGATCGGCACAAAAAGCTATTAGGACCATCTAATTCAAATCCTGATGGACACGAGATCCCTATTTTATCTCCAACCTGGTAAGCTGACTTCTTTGAATCACTTATAATATTATATGGAAAAAGTGGATAAGGGCACATAATTCCTATAAGAAATAAAAATATTATAAAGCAAATACATATTTTTTTTAAATTATATGCATTTAACACCCACAATATGTGTGATTAATGGTTTCCTATGTCTTAGTTCCCATAAATGTTTTATATGTTCTCACTGACCGAGTTATGTGTCATTCCCTAGCCTAGAAAAAATATATACAAATTCTATGACTTTTATTTTCAGGTTTTGTGCTACAATTGCTGCAGCCACAAATTGGTTGTCCAACTAGCTGGAAGCTGTTGTTGGGTTTTCAATGGGTTATAATTAACTAGTCCAGTCAACTAGTCTTTCAAGAACTTGTGGGTTATGCAGGGCTTCAGCGCACTTTGAAGACAATAAGAGTGACGTTATATGCTTTGGTATTTAGGGGCAGTGAAAATTATCCTCTATACACAAGGTGTCACTTTGTATTTCTGTGGCCATGAGATGTTCAAACCCAATTTGCCTCTTAGCACAAATTTGTGATTAAACTGTTCTTCAGGTTCACCAGAGTTCCTGCTGCCTAATTACATATCCTACAGTTGGAATAAATGTTGCTGAAAATCCTGGCCCACTCATGAATCTACCACCTCGCAAACACTGGAAAATAAAATCTTTAAAACACACAGTGTCCTTGGACCAGGACAAGGTAAAGAGCTATACATTGAACTCGAGGTGATAGATTTATTATTAAAGGAAACCTGACAATTTACAAAACCTGACAATTTACAAAAAGGCAAGTTACACTCACGTTTGCAATGTATGGGTTCAATGTGCCACGTAAGGTCTTTTTTGCATTCTGCAATAGAATCACCAACCAGGGAATACCCTTCATTGCATGTGTAAGTAATGCGTTTCCCAACATGAAATGAGGATCCAGTGTCCTGTAAAGAGATCACAAACCAGAGATGTTACTGGGAAGGTAAAACCCCTGGTGAAATATTTATTTGCTAAACCAGAAATAGCAGAGAATTATCAAAGACAATGCTAATTTTAAACCAAAACAGACAAAGTGAAAACATTCTGCAAAACTCAATTGTTTTACCAGCTGGTCCAAATATAATGGATAACCCCACAAGTGTTGTATAGAGTTACTAAAATAGCTTCTCAATGTGCCTACTTTCTTTGGTCATTAAACTCATAGGATGCAAAGATAAAAAAAACAAAAAACAAAACACAAGTTGTAATCTTTCAACTTTTCTATTTGTGAAACTGGTTTCTCAACAGTGACTTAACATGCTGTGTATTCCTGTGCCAGTGTATTAGTTATATATGTGGAAAGAGAGAAGAAGTCACTATGTGGAAAGAGAGAAGAAGTCACTCAACAGGAGCGCAATTCAGATGTCGAAGCAAGAATCAAGGACAGGTGACTTGTCTCAAAGTGATGCCTGCCTCCTAAACCGAGGGGTAACCGTCAAACTAGCAACAAATAACAGAGGAAGGACCCTCAAAAGGTTATGGGTCCTAGACAGGAGGACGAACAAAACACTCATAGGGAAGGAGGCCTTCTAAGGGGTAGAGTAAACAAAAATACAGACTAGGAAGAAAGGGGGGGGACATTATCTAAATAGTTCTCCAGGGTATGTACTCTCTAGTCAGAGAGAGAGAGAGAAAGGATAAGAGGATACAGAGGAAACTAGAAGTCTCGGTAATCTCTAATCGAAAAGAGACTGAGAGGGTTATTTACTAAAATGAGACAAAATGTTAGGGACTCAAAGTGAATTCCAAGTGAATTTCAAATTTAAGGCCAAAATAGCTCAAATCTAAATCAACTATGCTCTCAGTTCAGCTACTTTGACATTAAATTTGAAATTCATTTTGAATTTCGACAATTCTCTCTTTAGTGAATAACCCTGTGAGTGAAATAATACAGAAAATTTTATCATACTTACCGTAATTTTCTTTTCCTGGCTATTATTCATGGCAGCATCACTTATGGGTAGCTCCGCCCTAATCAGGAACAGGACAGGATAAAATCAATTAATATGGACCAGACTGGGTATAAAAGGTCCCTCCTCCTTCTATCCCACAGTCTAGTTCCAAAGCTAATCTGATAACCAGGGGGGGTTGCTGATGCTGCCATGAATAATAGCCTGGAAAAGAAAATTACGGTAAGTATGATAAAATTTTCTGTATTCCTGGCTAATCATGGCAGCATCACTTATGGGTAATACCCAAGCTTCACCATAGGGTGGGAAATTCAAAAACAAAACAAAAACTCCAAACCATATAATGCTGAAAAAAGGTTTAATTTAGATAGATTCCACAGAGGACAGAACACCTCTACCAAAAGCCGTAGAGGAAGATGCCAAATCCATCTTGTAATGTTTGATGAAAGTGAGAGGAGAAGACCATGTAGCTGCCTTACAGATGTCGTCAGATGGAACTTCTGCCCAATTAGCCCATGAAGTTGCTAAAGCCCTTGTAGAGTGTGACTTGATCCTACTAGGAGGAACAAGGTCTTTCAACTGATAAGCCTTGATTATAGTATTGGAGATCCAACGTCTCAAGGTGGAAGTAGATGCTGCCTCCCCTCTTCTGGGACCAATCGGCAGAACAAACAGCTGTTGAGACTTCCGAAATTGAGTAGAAACCTCTAAATACTTGAGTAGGCACTGCCTGACATCCAATTGATGAAGTTTCACTTCTTCTGGAGTAGAAGGAGATGGATAAAAGGAAGGAATAACAATCTCTTGTAAGATGTGGAAATTTGAGACAACTTTCGGCAGAAACTCTTGTCTGGGTCTCAAGATCACCCTGTCGTGGAATACTTGAAAGTGATTTTCATCGCAGGAAAGAGCATGAATTTCTGACATACGCTTTGCAGTAGTAACAGCCACCAGAAACAAGGTCTTATATGTTAATAAGACAATACCCAGCTCATCTAATGGAGCAAAGGGGTTTTCAGACAACACCTCTAGTACCATAGGTAAATTCCACCCAAAGAAAATTTATCAGAAATAAGCACTTACCCTAGGCTCTCCCAATAACTGACCTCAGATCAGGGGGGTTAGATGCTATAAGGGGGGTTTTTAAGGTAACAGCCGACCCCACATCCAAATTGAAACTTTTTTCTCCCATAATAGTACAGATGCTAATCTGTACTAAACTCAGTTAGTCCTGCCCGTGCAGGCTGTTTACTGAGTTCTTCAGATGAAGAGAGGCTGAACTTCATCTGGAGGCCCATGGTACACATGGGAAGGTGGCCCAAAATAAATTATCCTGTGTGTCCTGAAAGGACAGGAAAAAAGACTGTGGGATAGAAGGAGGAGGGACCTTTTATACCCAGTCTGGTCCATATTAATTGATTTTATCCTGTCCTGTTCCTGATTAGGGCGGAGCTACCCATAAGTGATGCTGCCATGATTAGCCAGGAAAGGTAGATGAGAATGTGAGAGAAGATGAAAGAAATAGAAACTGATTAATTATTAGAATTTTACAATACCTGAAAATGTCCATTTTCAAGAGGAGGAGGAGGTTGGCAAAATTCTGTATGTTCTAGAGACACTTCAAAACAGTGTGGTTCTACCGTTCTACAAAAAATAAAACATGAAAAAAAGTTAATAGGGAAAAATGCATGTTTTTACATTATGCCTCTTTCTATATCCGTGAATGCTTTTAACGTTAGAATTATTGCAATAAACCAGTCACATACTTGAGCATGTTTAATGCCTTGCATGATCCCTTCTGAGGATATAGGGGAATTAAATAAGAAGTTTGAAAAAAATGTATTAAACAGTGAAGCCCAGTGAACATAAACAAACTGAATACTAAAAATTTTCCCAAATCACTACATTTATTTTTCCTGTTCAACTATATTTGTATTGTATTTGTATTTAATATATTGGTATTTTTGGTCTATGTTTTGAACATTTCATTGTTTGGTAAATAACACACTTTGAAAAACATTACTGTTTATTTGACACCAAAACATAGTGTAATTATATCGAAATCTATATTGTGATAATTTCCCTCTGATTTGCTTCTATAAAATATCCAAACATTTCTCTCTTTATTATAGGAGTCCATTGATAGAGTTAATTCATACAATCCAAAAATAAATATCTGCATAACTGTTATCAATTTATCATCGATTGCCATTCCAGCGTTCCTAATCCCATAAACAGTAAACTTGTCATCTCTGGAAATGAATTTCTCCTATGACTGAAAATTATCTTATCATAAAAAAAGATGAAGATTTGTCTTAATCCGATGTTAGCTGACATTTTAGAGATCTGGTATATTGATTTTACTTGATGGATTTGACAGAATCCATATTAACATAGTTTAAATAGTACAAGGGAGAAATATATATTAATGACTCTAGGCTTGTGAGTGATGCTACTCTCCTATTTTATCATTTAAAGTTTTTAATTACTGTATTGCACTATTTTCTGAACAATTTTGTTTTGCAGAATATCTGTGGAATTATTTAGAAGCTCCACCTTTTCTATATGTATGTATGATTGTATATTAATTCATCTATATATATATATATATACACATATCACAATAAAAAAAAAACTGTGATTATTTTCTTTACGAATTGCATAAGCCCATTCAAAGAATGTTAGAAAATTCAAATGCATAATTATTATTATTTACAAGGTTTTGTTTTTTGTTTTTTTTAGGACTGCTTTAAAAAAAATTAATTCTCCTTCCATTTTTTTTTCCCCCCGTAGACATGAAGCAGTTTTGATAAATTACAGAATTAGCACTAGGGAAATGTAGCCGCGTTAATGAGGAATAATGCATGAATGTGGCAGCTCTGAAAATGAATGGTTCAGCACAGCTGCCAAAGGTCTTTGGGATAAAACAAGTAACCTTTGAATTATTTTTCCTGATATGCAAATGTAATAAACTCCCACATTCATTGTGCACTGACTGATTTCCAAAGTCAAAGTCCAGATTGTGCCTCTGTGACAATTACAGTCACCAAACAGGTGAGCAATACTTAGAATGCATGGCATTTAGGAAGGATAAATATTAGCAGATGTAGGCTGTGTATTTACGTTTTATTATCAGATACAACATGTTTCTGTTAAAAGGAACACTTATTGTTCTGTTTATGGGAACATAGTAATACATTGGTTTTTCCAATGGATTATCTTTTCTTCCGAGCTTTACCCTGATGATGTCGAACTCTCCCTTAGATCATCTCATTCCTCTAACAGTACAAAGTCTCAGCTGTCCGAATAAAAGGCATTCAGATTTCAATGATTTTGAATGAATGAATGAATGAGAAATTATTTTCATTCTCTGCTTGATTATGAAATACTGTAGGTTGCATGGACCAAACTGTCAGCTTTGCTTTTATGTTCAATATATTTTGGTTTTATGCATAGGAGAGCATCTTGGCTTTGCTTAATCTATCAAGAACCAGTGGCACCTTTGGACAATATCAGTAGCCTCCAAAAGCTTTCTTATGGGAAATATAGATTGGCTAAGATCATCATGATTGATTATCTCAGCCATGGAGCCGTGGCCTAGCTGCTGCGAGACCGCCAAGGCGATGGAGAGATGTTAACTACCTTTTCACTGCAATCTGAAGGGGGTTGTCACCTAAACAGCCACTCCAGCACTTTAGTGTTAGGAATCCATTTTTATATTCCTAACACTATAGTGTTCCTTTAAATGAGTGGGTTATTCCATTTTAGAATATGATCCAAATTAGTACAATGGAATTTACCATCATTGAATTGTAAGGAGTTAAGACATCAGTAAACATTTAATATATTCTATTTGTATTTAAATTAGCAAAGTTATGAATATAAACCCCACCAAAAGTTTTAATAATACTTGCTTCAGGCTTATTTTAACATCAAAATATTCTGCTTGCTTGCTCTCCCAAAGCACTGGGTAAATAGTTGCTGATTAACACTAGAATCATGGGTAGTTTTTAAGAGGTTTGTGAACAATGAGCTTCAGATATATGGATTTAGGTTTTTATTTATTCCAAACAAACCCAGTTTTATGTTATCAGATACACTAATTTCCAGCCACCCCACAAATATATATATAGTATATCGCAAAGAATTTTACCGATAATGTAAGAGGTCATCATCTTCACACTTCTCGGACTCTATGGAATCGCCAATGCATTTCTTTCCACCACCAGTAGGAGATGGATTATTACATACTCGATTTCTTACTCTTCTTCCCGATGCACTTACACAGGAACTCCATGAGGACCAGCAACTCCAGCTTCCATCAACGACTCCTAGAAAGGCAAAGACATTATTGAAGAACTTTAACAAACTATCACATTAAGCATCACTATAAATAGAAATGTAGAAAGTAATCCAGGTACTCCAAAGTATCCCAAAAAAACGTTATTACTTTTATAATGATTTAGGTTATCAAAATTATTATGAAAATATTTGTATGTTTTCACTATTGTGTAACATTAAAAATTGATACACATTTTTTATTTTTTCTGCTATGTAGTTTTCTATTTTTTTCACTTTTATCAATTTTTGTAAAAATTATTTTTATGTTTTTTACCATTAATCTCTATTATGTGATGAAGTACTTTGAAGAAAAAAATTAAGGAAGATAATGTGATGATGAAACTTTTATGGTCTGTGATTGGGGAAAGGTATATATTAAAAGAAAAAGAAAAAAGAAAAATATGTTGAAAATATTGGTAATAGTATTGTTTAGACTCACCTTTTAGTTATGATCCACCATCTGGACTGTCTTTTTCATATAGGGCTCGTTACATCTAAACCTCTGTATCTATTTCTTAAATTTTTTTATTTGTGCATTTGATACTATTGATAATAGAAACTCAAATGATATTGTTGCTAAAAGTATCTCGTACTTGTTTAAGAGATACCCGGCAACATAACTAATGGATTAGTGCTTGATGCTGATTGGCCGGATGGAAATTAACATGATTGCGCATGCGCCTTGTTGCGCATGTTCTCCAGTTACGATCCGAACGGGTCTGATCATATGATTAACCTAGAAATATGTTCCTACCTTTTAGGCGTAATCACATGCTTACGATCATGTGACCGATCCGGAAATGTAAGTAACTGGATTTGTTCTGGAATCCTTAGAATTTACAAAAATTTGCTTAATTAAATAATATCCCTGACAACTAAGATGTTGTATAACTAAATTGTTGAATTATTAATTGGTTAAATTGCCCTATGAGGGTTAACCCCCCCGATGTGTTGGATAATAATTGGATAAGATATCATGGCTAATGATTATTGATAGATTGTGCGGTTAATTAATCCTGTTTTATCACATGTTTTGTCACTTGTTAATTATCTGTACACCTATATATTGCTTGCTGTGTATGTGTTTAGTAGCTTGACAAAGACCTTAGTGACGAAACGTTGTTTTTTGGTTCATGGGTCCAATAAAAGTTGCCTTTTTGGGGATACTTTGGAGTGCCTGGATTACTTTTTACATTTCTACTTATACTTTTGGTCCTCTGGTACAGGGACTGATCCGGCTAGCACCCAAGGATTCCTTACGTGAAGGGTTTGAGTGCAGTTCCACAATTTATCTATGGATGATTAAGCATCACTATGTCATGATAAACTAATAAAAATATTTGGTATATAAATCTACATTAATGTACGGGGTTGCAATCTAAACATGTTTTAACCCTTTCAATATTATAAAAGAGTATAGATGTATTTATTTGCATGTACCAGCCTGTAGAGGAACAAATTTCTCTGTCAGAAGTCACTAGTCACTAAAATAAAACCTGTAATGTTGCTGAAAATGTAAGCTTCCCCTGCTTTCAAAACAGTACAGGAAGTTTCAACAGGTGATATCATTCCTACAGTCAGGGATGGTTGAGGAGTGAACAATCCATTTCACAGTCAAAATTACATTAACAGTCCAGAGATTAATAAAGATTGATATAATAATTTTTAATATCTTTATTTAGCAAATATTTAATTAAACTGTATTTACTGTATATGGGCATTATGCTGAAATGCAGACATTTTTAACATTCTATTGCCATTTTAAGTAAGCTGGACTGCTGGGGGGCACCCCTGCTGCAGTGCAGTAATGGCTGAGCTGGAGAGCTAAACAAGCTCCCCAGCCAGCCTGCACTCAGTAACACTGTGTGGGCCCCTGCTGCTATAAATCTCCCTCCTCCCTTTGCAGGGCATTCTGAGGGACAGCTAAGGGGCCTTTCTAAAGACCTCACTAGGGAGAAATCGTCAGAGATTCCAGGAGCAGAGCCTCTGCCAGCAGATCAGCACAGCCACACTGAGCATACTGCCTATAACACTGATGAGGACAGCTTTGTGTGGCTGGTTCTGCAGGAAGTAATGTCATTCCTGTGGAGCTGCCCTGATCTGTGTTACAGGCAGCATGTTAAGCATCCACCCCAAGGATAAGAATTCCCCCCTCCCTGGCCAAAGGTAAGACTTTTTAATGTTTTTTTCAATTAAAACTATTTAGTGTCTAATCTCCCCCACTACTGCCCCTTCACAGCTCCTATCTCTCCAATCCGCTTAGCAACCAAAGCTCCTATAACCATCTACACTCCCTATACCCCTGCTCTTAATACAACTCCTATTACCCCCAGGCACCCATTATAACCCATACCCAGGCATCCTCTAGAGTCCCTATACCGACTGAACCCACTACAGTCCCTACCCCCCCTGCACCCACTACAGCCCCTACCCCCTTGCACCCACTAAAGCCCCTACCCATTAGCACCCACTAAAGTCTCTAGCCCCTGAACCCACTAAAGCCCATGCACCCACTACAGCCCCTACCCCACCTGCACCCACTACAGCTCCTACCCCCTGCACCCATTACAGCCCCTATCCCCTGCACCCACAACATCACCTACTCCCCTGCATCCACTACAATCCCCACCCCTTGCATCCACTAAATCACCTACCACTTAGCACCCACTCAAGCCCTTTTCCCCTGCACCCATTAGAGCCCCTGCACTCAGTAAAGTGGCTTTAGGGGGGTAAGGGCTGCACCCACTACAGCCCTTACCCCCCTGCACCTACTACTGCCCCTACCCCCCCTGAACCCACAACATCCTCTACCCCCCTGCACCCACTACAGCCTCTACCTCCTGCACACACTACAGCCCCTACCCCTCCTGCACCCACTAGAGCCCCTACCCCTCAGGCACCCTGTACAGCCCCTATATCCCCCACAGGCACCCTCTAGAGCCCCTATAATCCTTGAACCTGCTACAGCCCCTGCACCCATTACAGCCCCTACGCCCTGCAACCACTACACCCCTACCCCCCTACACCCACTACTTGAATTAAAACATAAAATAAAAACATAAGCAGTTAAAGGGACACTATAGTCACCAGAACAACTACAGCTTAATGTAGTTGTGCTGGTGTCTACTGCCTGTCCCTGCAGGCTTTTTAATGTGAACACTGCACAGAAACATATCTAGTGGCCGTCACTCAGACGGCCACTAGCGGTGCTTCCTGGGTCAGTGCTGCACATTGTGAACGCTCCTCGTAGAGAAGCATTGATTCAATGCATCTCTATGGGGAGATGCTGATTGGTGCAGGATGGTGTTTTGCCACGCATTGTGCAATTGCCTTCTAGTGTTTTTCTATAGAAAAGCATTGGATTGGCTGAGATCATCAAATTTTATGGAGACCCAGGCGGTGCTGGAAAAAAGGTAAGTAAATCACCTTTTTAACAGGGCAAGTAAGAGGGGCCGGGGACCTAAGCTGCTATTTTAACCCTATAGTGTCAGGGATACACATATGTATTCCTGACACTATAGTTTTCCTTTAAGGTGGCTTGTAGTTTTTAACACCTGGTTTGTAATTCTAGATGCAAAATTTGGAGGCCTGCATACTTCATACAAACACATTGCCATGATTCACACACACACACCCTTATACATACTGCCATGCTACACAAACACACATATAAATACTCCCCTATTTAAAAAAACAACAACAACATGTATTTAAATATATTCTGAATCCACTACACACAGACATATTTACACCAAACACTTACACCAGGGCTCACAGTGAAGATATACACATAAACATACATTCATTTTACCTACACATACAATCAAATACATGGTACATCTACACCAGCATATGTATCGATCTGCAGGGGGCCCAGGTCCTAATTTTGCCTCGGGGGCCAGGCCACTGTCAGTCCATCCCTGGCCTTCAGGGTCCTTCAAAATATTTTGATAAGTAAGGTATTTTACCATTTTTATTTATCTATTTTTGTCACTGTGTAAGAAAAATAGCATTTTGCCATTATACTAGGGATATTTTAGACCTTGTGTGAAATGTTGGAAGATGAGCTTTTCATTTTCTAAAGCTTTACATTTCCCACATATTTTTATAAAGGATGAATGCCTAAGTGAAAGATAAAAACGATGTAAATTTACATTGTTTAAATGTTTAAGCTTATCTGCAAAGCAATTTACACACTCAATTGACGTGTTGTTACAGGTTTAAAGAAGATAACCTGTTATGGGAATTATAAGAATTGTTAACAAATGGTAATAGCCAAGTAGAAGTATCTACAGCTGATGATCTCAGCCAAGCAGGCAGATCGGGGGAAGAGCCAGCAGCAGCAGACTTGAATAAAAGTAAGATTTTACTACATGGATGTGGGCAATGAGGAGGATCCAGGTAAGCTAGATGATGGTTTTAACACTATAGGGTGTTACATGTTTGTGTTCCTGACCCTATAGTGTTCCTTTAATAAATTATGTATCATTCCTATGCTGCTCCTGATATTATCCCCCAAAACGTATTATGGTGACAAACCATGTACGAGAAACATCTGGCAATTGCAAGTTTATTGGAGAATCATAAGCAACACAGAGTGTCCTTTTCCTTTTGTATTTTGAGTGCCATTGCCTGTCACACAGAGCTTATGTACAGGCTGCATTACACCATTACTTACTCAATACCTACTGTGACAAACTCTACTTTTTAAGGGAGTTTGCCATGAGTTTTTGGAGGGGCCTGCTTGCCCGCCTCCTGCCCTGTGACTATGGCCCCTGGATGTATTGCCCTTTAAAAGCGTTATTTGGGCACATTGGATTTTGTTACACTGCTTCTGCCCCTTTAACTACTATGAGAAAGGATTTGTACATATGTAATGGCACTTCGGATGCAGCTGAAGTGCCGAAGTGGCCACCATTCGAACATGTGGCGGCGGCCATTTTGTTTAGTCAAACACAGTTCTGCAGTGTTTGATCGTTGAGTTCATGGAACTAAAATCGGACACTCGACGGCACGAACACTGCTGAACTTTACCTTCTATATGACTGACGCTTCGACAGTAGTCAAAAGGCGTTCGCCTATACGAACGCCACATTGACATTTGCATGAACGGTTGCCGTTCGTTTCTTTGAACTACTTGATATAGGAAATAGACCGGCCGTTCAGCCCAATTCTCTGGAACTGTTTTGGGCATGAAATGTGCGTGCGGTCGGTCAAATGTGACTTCCAGCTAACTCCCGAACGACTGAACGGATTCGCATGATGTTTGAGTATGTTGGTTCTCTAATTATGCTGTTTCAGAATATGTAAATTTTATGCGAATGTGATGTATAATTTTGGAGTTCTGGAAATTGTGTAAAAACTGTATATTTTCTGCCTGTGATAATTAAGTTGGCCCATTGTGTTTAGTAATTATATCACAGGCAGAGGGGAGGGATTGTGTGCCTTGGCTAGGAGTGTCTGATCGTACTGTACTGTATTGATTGGCTGTTGTAACTTGGTGTCCTGTCTACCACAAGGTCCACGTGGGTGGTAACCTTGTGGGGAAAGGTGTGTAAAAGAAGCAATAAAGCCTCAGTGCATTCTGTTCCTGCTTACACTCCAAAACTGTGTGTCGTCCTGTTACATAGTTACATGGCTGAAAAGAGACTTGCGTCCATCAAGTTCAGCCTTCCTCACATTTGTTTTTTGATGTTGATCCAAAAGAAGGCAAAAAACCCAGTTTGAAGCACAAGTTTGCAACAAGCTAGGAAAAAAAATCCTTCTTTACCCCAGAATGGCAGTCAGATTTATCCTTGGATCAAGCTGTTATTACCCTACATTGAAAGATTATATCCTTGAATATTCTGTTATTGCAAGTATGCATCTAGTAGCTGTTTGAACATCTGTATGGACTCTGATCAAACCACTTCTTCAGGCAGAGAATTCCACATCCTTATTGTTCTTACAGTAAAAAAACCTTTCCTTTGCCTTAGATGAAATCTTCTTTCTTCCAGTCTAAACGCATGACCTAGTGTCCTATGTAAAGTCCAGTTTGTGAATAGATTTCCACACAATGGTATGTATTGGCCCTGAATATATTTGTATAATGTTATCATATCCCCTCTCAGGTGACGTTTTTCTAAACTAAATAGGTTTAAATTTGTTAGCCTTTCTTCATAGCTGGCATGTTCCATTCCTTTTTTTAATTTTGTAGCCCGCCTCTGCATTTTTTCTAGTGCCATAATATCCTTCTTTAGAACAGGTTCCCAAAATTGCACAGCATACTCAATACTCATTCCCAGTTATTGGAGGGAAAGAATATCTGCTCCTGTGTCTGCTGTTCCAGCTTGCAGGAAGAAAGCTTGCTCCTGTGTCTGCTGTTCTAGCTTACCGGAGATTCAACGGGGAAAGTCCTTGTAAAGACTAGAGCTAATTCCCCATTCGGTTCCAGAGTTCCCAGGACTGAGTGTCGTCCAGTGCCTGGAGGTGTCAAGTGGAGTGCTCTGTGCAGTGCTGATGGTCGTTGGTAAGCGCTAGGAGCTTCCGTCAACATAGGTACCCAGCCAGGGTGCCAGGTGATCTGTTACACCTACTTTCACATAAGTGACTTTTGTTTGTATTTGGCATAATAGCCACTTATAAAAAAAGGTATGAATATTGGGCTTTCAGTCACTTTGCCCAGTTTGACCAATTGTTTCATTCATTTATGACAGTCTATAGATTTTACATGAAATCACAAGCCAAAGACAACTGGATACCACAATTCAGTACACTCAGATCCAGTAAAATCGCTCTCCCCGGCTGCTAAAAAGTTGTAAACAGGTCATTTTCTTGTAGATCCTTCTGAAGATTCTAATGATTAGCAGGTCAGCTATTCCTGATAGCACTCAGTCCAACATCTAATCTGAGAAGGTTCTTCAATACTTTGCATGGTTAGTCAATAAATCAGGAACTGTCGGCACGTGACTAGGACATTTCAAATTTCAGTCTGAAATAATGAAACTTGAAATTATCTGAATTTCGAGATTCATCTGTTTTAGGATAAATTAGCAAATTCCATTTTACTCCTGTTGATTCCCACTTTCGTTTTCTGGAAATCATACTAGGCCTGGCAGTTATGTAAATACAAGTTTTTAATTTCCATCATATCTCAGCACATCTGTTCTCTAAAAAGAATACATTACATGTATGAAAATAAAAACACAATGATCATACTTGCGTCATCTTGTACTAAAGCTCCATGTTGACACGCTGACCCATGGGTGTATGGTTTACAGAGGCATTCACAACGTGTTCCCACAACGATTGGCACACCTTTGTTCTGACATGGCTTGCATTTACATGCATTTTCTTCATTCATGTACTCTTCTATTGCCCGTTTCAGGTAGTACCTCTTCACAGCAGCACATGGAACCTCTCGTACTAGCTCATACAAAGGTGTAACCTAAACACAATTAAAAAAAATGTAGAATAATTTAAAAATACTGTGAGTCACTACGAATATATGTCTCCGTCACTAGTTGTCATTGTTAAAGGCTCCATTATTCAGTGTCCCATTCTATATATATATATAAATCTATATAAATATAGGTATAGGGATATAAGAGTTATTGGATGCTATTCCTTAAAGAGCAGGCTACTTTAACTGTATGTGCATACTCCTCAGGGCTCAGTTATAGAAACTGGTGTAATATATTGGTTTATCTTCCAGTAGCTGGGCCTGCCCAAAGACATCCCTAGCATTCACGACCATTTGTTCCTGAGGCTAGAATTCCCCCAGCAAGCTGATTCTACTCCACTCCCTGTTCCCTCCTGCCGTCTAAGACTGCCTACATGGATCCTTGACTCAGCCAGGACAAAGACTGGTCTCTGTCTGCCCTCACGGGTGAATTCCTGGCAAAGACATCAGCTCCGATTAACAGAACATTCGGCTTTCTTGTTTGCTCTCTCCTCTCTCTGCAATCGCAGAAGGATATCTGGCAAAGTCCTCGGCTTCGGTAACAGACATTCTTGCTTGCTCCTTTCCTCTCTCTGCACTCATGGATGGATTTTTGGAAAAGACCTTGACCTGGCAAATGGACTCCCCTTTGGATCTCTCTCAAGCATCAGCATTATATGGACAGATTAATGGCAACCACCTGGCACAGTTTAAAAGACTTTCTCTGCACACTCAGTCATCAAGCTACCTACCATAATCATTATTTCTCATTTTGAGAACAGTCAACCAATTTAACCCCTTAAGGACCAAACTTCTGGAATTAAAGGGAATCATGACATGTCACACATGTCATGTGTCCTTAAGGGGTTAAGGGTCTACACCAAAAACCTAGTTTAGGGGATAAACCCTGAACCAGCAGTTATTTGCTATTTTTTTCTAAGTTACACCAGAAAATTTGGGATTCTTATATCAAGCAGTTCTGAGTGCTTCTTATATTTTTGTAATGTTATTAACTGTTCAGTACATGTTATTTTTCTCTTTTTCTGATAATTTCTGATAAAGAGATAACAGTAAACGTTACTCTGGTTTCGAGAAAATGCTTTCTATGAAAGGTCCTTATAAATGACTTTATGCTAAGGACAAAAACATTGACTCAGCATCCTTAATATACATATTTCTACTTTCTACTTTTCTAGCTGAGTGCTCTATTTATTTGACTAACTAACTTTTTCGACAACATTACACATTATATCCAAATATATGTTTTTATACTTAAAAAGTTTGTTTGCTTTTGATTCCCCTGCAAATGCTATTAATGCCTTTGTACACACTTCCATATTGTTGTACACGACCTATATATTGATCTAGTTATGACATTAGCAATTAACACCTAATTACCTAATTAAGAAGATATGCAGGGTGCAGGCTGCAAGTTGTTAAGAAGTGCATTGCTGCCCTAAACAAAAACCTTTCAAAACAAAGTACTTGGTCACCTTGTGGCTTATCTCTGCTTGTTTAAGATTCTTCTCTCCAGAAGGAAGTTGACAAGTTCTATATTATGCAGATAAACTCATCCATACCATATGTGATAACAGATGCAAAGCCATGAAATACAAGGACATTATCTCTTTATTTAGGAAGGGTAAAGTCGTTTGGAAAAGACACAATGCGGCTTTTAGCATCATCAGTGTAAAAAAGCCCATGAAAAGGACATGTGATGTTATAACGCTTGTAACATTTAAGATGCTCATTTCCTTAAGATGTTACTACAGGCCTGTGTGTGTGTCTGTCATGTTTAATCTAAAATATAATCTAATTTTATCAGATACGTTTTTAATCGAAGTACACAGTCTTTTCTCCATAATGCTTACCTTGGCACTATTTTACATTTAGTGTCAAGGTGATGTTTATTTATATCTTAGTAATGTATCATCTATAGTTTGGGCTTCCTGACTGGGTGTTAAAGAAAAAATATGTCACTGTTGTCAGGATGACCAGCATGCTATGCGCTAGTTATGGGTATTTGGGTCTGAACCTGGGTCTCCTGCATCCCAGTCAGGCACCTTGTCCTTGACTCCACGCATCTCTAGTTCCTTTCATGTAGGTCCTGGGTTCATGCAGTCTGAATCTCTGCACACCTGTTCCTGGTTCCCTGATGATTGGCTGAGACTCCCTATTTAAACCCCCGCTAGGCTGGTTCTCATTGTCAGATTGTGTTTCCTGTTTGGTTTCACTGCTATTCATCTGACTCCTGGTTTTGATCCCCTGCTTGTCTACCATTTTTGCCTGATTGCAGCCTGTCCTGACTTATGATTCTGTTACTGACTACTCTTCTGGATATCCCTTGTCTGTACTGCGTTCCAGGAAGCACTGGTTATTTCAGCCCCAGTGCACTGTGTCACAGCCTTGGGGATTTCTGTCTTGAGTCTCCTCGGCCTGTGTCGAATTGCAAAGGGTGCTTTAACTCTGCGTGCCGGACTCCCACTCCAGGTAAGACCCCTGACAATTGTACACTAAGTGCTTTGTGGAGCCCAACAGTTTATTCTGAGATTTGTAGTGCTCTGGCTTAGGAAAATCTTGCACAATTAAAGAGGATTATCCCAGGGTGAACCGACATCAAAGTAATGGCATGCTAAGGGGTCCAGAGCAGAAACCAAGACAGGAACCGGTCTACTGGTAGTGCCACATATCGGGTACCTGCTTTGCTGATATAAATGCAAATCAGGCAGCGAGGGAGTTGCTGAGATCATCCCTGCACTGACTGCACTGTTCCCTTGTGCACCCTCTACTGATTGCCCGGAGCCAGGATGTGATGTTTCTCCACCCTTGGCATCAGTACAAAGCTGCAGGGAATTGGACATCCAGTGCAGAGGATAACCCCATCAACTCTACATTAACTCCAATAACTTAAAGTTATTAACCAAACTTATTTCCAGCTCTCCACTGGTCTGCAGGCGCTGGCCCTGACCCCCAAATCTGCCTCTTTGGCTAAAATCATCAAAATTGATTATCTCAACCAAACCAATGCTTTCCCACAGGGAGATTTCCAAGGAGGTGGGGTGGGGAGCGTAGGCAGGGCCAAACACTGCCTGGCAAATCAGGATCTTGAATCAATGCATCACTATGAGGAAAGTTCAGTGTGTGTGATTAATTTGCTTTTAAAAAGGGAGTTAGGCAAAGTGACAAATACTGCTCTAATAAAAACATATGTCCATAAATACATGAAATAACCCATGCTCTGTAATAATATAGAACTGTACTGAGAATTGTATGCGTTCACATTACAAGAGAAAATGTTATAATGAATTGTCTATGTATATGATCTTGCATATTTCAAAATTGCCATTTTTTGTAAAAGTATTTTCTAATCAGATTTCGTGTTTTTGTGAGTAGAATTTTAGTGTATACTCAATATAATTTTTTTTTTTCTGAGTATCTTCGTTAACATAAAAGCACTAGCTGTTTGTTTTAACACGTGCAATGATGGCCAAGTTTATCAATATTCAAATACGATGCCATTATTAGTGTACCTCTGCATCTGTAACCATCCTAGTGCCCTTTGGGATAAATACATTATTATGCACACCCAAGAGTTCGACAAAGGTAACATACCAAAGTATTGCATGCCTCTTCTAAATGAGTGATATGTGGAAGCAGCCAGCTCAGAATGTGAATAGAATGCTAACCATATTGATAAAACATATATCAAATGAAATCATTGATCATATAGAAAGGTCATCACCATTCCTGTCAGTTTCCTAATTACATTTTGTGTCCAATATTCCCAAATGCAAAAGGTGTAGAAATGTCGAGCAATGTAAGACATGATAAATGGGGCTGTCATAAAGAACTTGCTGAAATAAAGCCTGCATGATTTTATAGCGTTTAAATATATCTTTCATTGTTATAGATTTAATCCCGCTGTCTTGCATAAAACAGCATCTTACTCAATTCATTAAAGGCGATGTATTGACATTCAATGTACAAAAAATGTTTTCTTTTTAAAACTACACAAAATAACACCGTGGGTTCTTCAGGTACTACATTTCGGAATATTTTGACTTGTGTTCTAATGTCCAGGTAATCTTTGTAAAGAGTCAAGGATAAGACGTAAGAAATCTCAAAAGGACTCTAAATATGTAAGCAGTTCAAAATCTATGTAACAAATATTTCATAAAAAGCAGTCCTTGCTGTAAAGATTTATTTTAGCATTTAATAGTATATGTTTACTTTTTATCTTTATATTGTTTATCATTATTACCTCAATGGTTTTAATGCTGTTTGTACTTTTTTAAATCTAAAAATATATTTAACGTTTACAGTCGTAAACTTGTCTTTTTATCTTTACACCCGGATGAGGCAGGTATACATTTTATGTAGGTGGCATCAGGCCATAATTTTTACTGTATAGCATGAAAACTAGTATTAGTAGTAATAGTGCTTAGCAGTTCCTCTTTGGGAAACATTAAAACTTTCAATAGTTGTTAATTACTATTACAATTACATTTTGTAGAACAGAAACTGACAGATGTCCCTTTTGTCTGCAGCAGCTATTTCAGAAATAAGTAACCTGTCTGTCAGTAAAATTACCAACAGCCAGGAAATCAGCCCTTACTATCGTTTTTTTTTGTTTTGTTTTGTTTTTTTACAGTCCAGCTAATGGCAGTGGCTATCCATGTAGAAATTAAACTGTATGGGTCACGTTGGCCGTAACCTGAGGCTGAGTGATGTCCCTCACAAGAAAATAGCAGGAAATCGGGACAAAAGTTGCTAATTTCGGACGTTGTGTGTTTTTTTTTTTTGTTTTTTTTGTTTTTTTTACCATTCCCAACATACAAAATTCAGTTACTGTTCCTGTACTTAATATATTTTTTATTTACTTAGTAACAGTGTACCAGTTGGTAACAGGGGCCCATCTTCTGGACACATCTGACTGACTGAATGAGACGCTGCATGGCCTTCCTGACAAAACATTATATTTTCTAGAGGTTAACTTCAACCCCCCCAAACACATCTTAAAATTACATCTACAGCCCAGTTACAGACACCAGTACATGGCCACTTACTTCTTGTTTCCTTCAATTTTGTAAAATGACTGATCTAAATAGCCATATTTTATAGGTCATACAACATATATAAAGAAAGATCGGACAAGTGCTTTGAATTCCCAGCACATACAGTATCTGGTTCATGTCATGACCTTTAAAGCAAGCCAGATGATCCATCAAAACTCAAAAACCACTATACTGTTAAAATTGTTAAAGCATGCTGCATAAACCATATATTCTGCTTTAGTGATTTAAGTTGATGATTTTTTATTTATTTATTTATTTTTAACTGTTTTGAACGAAAACTGCCAACACTCTTAGTAATTTGCTGGTAATGGATAATTAGAGTTGTCCAACAGCAGCCAGAGACCTACCTGTTTTTTATCCCTACTTCAGAATAACAGTGAGGAAAACCAAAAGAAAAGGTGTAAGGACCACATACCGTCTGTTTTAATACTGAGGGTAGATTTGATACAGAACCAGCCCAAGAAGCATAACGATCTCGATTTGCAGCTGGATTATCTATGTTTATGTAGTTAAGAGCGCTAGCGAATTTAGCCTCTCCTCCTGTGATCTTCACAGTGCCTCGAACTTCTTTATTGCTTGTTCCTACAGGTAATTTACATATATTAAAAAAAAATACATATTTTATACATAAGGTAAATTAATGTGCCTGAATGCAGGTTTTAGTTGATTACACATCTCTTTCCTTTCCATGTACTGGTAAGTATAGTGTACGATCTCTCTTATAGTCATCAAATGCCATAAAGAAGACTGCTAGGATTTGATACCCTGGCAAAAAGTGAGTGCACAAACTTAATTGATCCTAAAAAGCATCCTAGTGAAACACACCATGCTTAATCGTTAGTCTGTTTTTGTCTAGTAGAGCATATTTAAAAATGTTCAACTATACATTTTGGAACTTTTACCTGTATTGTCCTACAATGTATTTTTATTTTAAGAAATGTCCTCAGATAGCTGGCTTTAGAACTTTATTTTCTTTATTATTAAATAAATGAGAAAATATTATATTCTAATATTTCTAAATTATTATCTTAGTTATATATTTAGGTTATAACACCAAAGAGCTCCCTGTAAATGAAAACTGAAAGATAATTGTGTCTTTGTTTTACTCAATATAGACTTCACCAAAAGTAGGTTTCACTTATTTTGCAGTTTTCTCTTAGCAACATCAACTATCCAATCCTGCCTTCACCCACCCCTCCCTTCTAAACATGTTCCATATTTTCTCAACCTCCAGCCTTTTTACCTCTCTTATCAATATGCTGTTATTCCAACCCTTCTATATATGTCCTAAAAGTATGGAGGCTAATCTCTGAAAGACGTCAATGAAAAGCTTGTGTCTTCTTTATTAAGGGGGATCGCTGGACTGTTTACCTACAAAGATACAATTCATGTCATGCATCTTTAAGACAATATCATATTACTTACCCGATGAGGACTTTATTGTTTCCGATAGTTTTTTACAATCTGTAGATGAATACGAGACGAAAAGAAACCCAACGTTCGTTGAAGTACATTTTTGCATATCACTTATTGTTATACCTGAATGTAAAAAACAAACAAAAAAATTTTGTATTTACTATTATCTTATTTATAACTGTATTGATAAAGCATAAAAAGTGTATTGATCAATCATAAAAAAGTGAGGTTAGCAAATAAAGACTTTTTTTTGTATCTAGAACTAGTTGTTACTCTGTTCATCAAATAGGAAAAGTTCGCAAAATGTCATAAGGGAATTTAGTTTGGCTGCTGCTAGTAAGTGCTGCTACAAAGTGTACTTGGAGATATTCTGGAGAGTGATTTGATTCTTCAACTGTCCGAGATCTTTCTTTTTTACTGCTAAAGGTAAGAGTTTTTGATTGTACAAGATTTCATGAAAAAGAAAATAAAGGAAAAAAGACTGAGTCATTTGTTACATGTGAGTTTACAGAGGAAGAGGTGATGCATTAACAAAACAGTTACCTGATTTATTCAACCAATCATTGTTAACAGGAGTAGTCCCAGAAGATTGGAAACTAGCAAATGTTGCGCTAATTCACAGGAAAGATAGTAGGGAGTAGTCGGGCAACTCTAGGCCATTAAGTCTTACTGTCAGAACTCACCATTCTCAGGTCCTTCGCGGTTACTTCCGCGTTTGGCATTTAACTCCTCCCACTTGAATGACGCACGGCTTCCATGCCTTATAGGGAAGCTGTGCCAAATTTAAAGTGCTTAGTGATTGTGTCTCTTCCTTGAGAACATCAAGCTAAGCTCCTATAATTTGTCTTGTGTACCGAACAGGACCTGATAACCGTTGTTGCTACCTTCTCCTCTCCTCGAAACTCTGCTTGGACTATGAACTCTCTGCCATCTCCTTCCCAGACCCGAACTGATAATTTGACTACTGCTATCTCACTTAACTAAGCAGGATCTTCTTGCACAATTCAGCAGGACCTCTCCTATTACTCTGATCCAGTCAAGAACTTTTTCCACGGAGACAAGTTACTTAGAAAACCAAAAATATTAATCTAACGCTACTTAACCCTGCTACATTGCTGCAAACTAATAATTCAACCATTTAATTATCCTGTAAATACTTTGTTTCTTCTGTAGCTACAATTATTAAGAATCTCCAATCAAGTCATTTCATTTTCCTTTCATGCTGCAAGCTATTCTGTTCTTACACGTTATCACAACTGTCTACTAACTTTTTCATTATTGGAGATATTGGAGAAGTAAACAAAGTATTTAAAGGCTTTAAATTGACCTCCTCGAATTCTCTCAAAGGTACAGTATGACTAAATTCTTCTGCAGTTGTGTTCCTCTAATTGCCTATTTCCAAGTGAAGCATAACACTTACTTTAGTAGTGGGGAAAGTAATGGAAACCATGTTAAAGGATAGGATTGTTGAACATATAAAAACACATGGATTTCAAGATCAGAGACAACATGGGTTTAACTTCAGGGAGCTCATGCCTAACTAATCTTACTGATATTTTTTGGTTGGGTAACTAAAATAATAGATCAGGGTGGTGCAGTAGACGTTGCTTACCTAGATTTCAGTAAGGCTTTTGACACTGTTGCACATAGAAGGCTTATCAATAAATTGCAATCTTTAAGTTTGGATTCCAATATTGTTGAATGGGTAAGGCAGTGGCTGAGTGACAGGCAACAGGGGGTTGTCACCAGTGGGGTACCTCAGGGATCTGTACTTGGACCCAGTAGGCAGACAATGTAATAGAGACGCAGGAAATGCTAGCAGAATGCTTGGTTGTATAGGGAGAGGTATTAGCAGTAGTAAGAGGGAAGTGCTCATGCCATTGTACAGAACACTGGTGAGACCTCACTTGGAGTATTGTACGCAGTACTGGAGACCATATCTCCAGAAGGATATTGATACTTTAGAGAGAATTCAGAGAAGTGCTACTAAACTGGTTCATGGAGTGCAGGATAAAACTTACCAGGCAAGGTTAAAGGACCTTAACATGTTTGGCTTGGAGGAAAGACAAGACAGGGGGAATGATAGAAACATTTAAATACATAAAGGGAATCAACACAGTAAAGGAGGAGACCATATTTAAAAGAAGAAAAACTACCACAACAAGAGGACATAGTCTTAAATTAGAGGGGCAAAGGTTTAAAAATAATATCAGGAAGTATTACTTTACTGAGAGGGTAGTGGATGCATGGAATAGCCTTCCAGCTGAAGTGGTAGAGGTTAATACAGTGAAGGAGTTTAAGCATGCGTGGGATAGACATACGGCTATCTTAGATATAAAATAAGGCCAGGGACTAATGAAAGTATTTAGAAAATTGGGCAGGCTAGATGGGCCGAATGGTTCTTATCTGCCGTCACATTCTGTGAGACAGGGGGGATATGATAGAAACATTTAAATACATAAAGGGAATCAACACAGGAAAGGACTACCCCAACAAGCACATAGTCTTAAATAAGAGGGGCAAAGGTTTACAAATAATTTCAGGAAGTATTATTTTACTGAGAGGGTAGTGGATGCATGGAATAGCCTTCCTGCTGAAGTGGAAGAGTTTAAGCATGTGTGGGATAGGCATAAGGCTATCCTAGACATAAAATAAGGCCAGGGACTAATGAAAGTATTTAGAAAATTGGGCAGACTAGATGGGCCGAATGGTTCTTATCTGCCGTCACATTCTGTGAGACAGGGGGGATATGATAGAAACATTTAAATACATAAAGGGAATCAAC